GCGTGTCCACGAACGAGTGGGATAGGGCTTTTAAATGATAGTTGATGATTTTTCATGATAAACTCGTAATTTTACATTTAAATTCGGCATTTATTTCGGCCTTGTTGTTTGTTTTCACCATTTCGAATTGAAAGGGGAAAGCTTATTGTGGAGCGAGATTACTGGGCCAGTCAGGCGGATAGTTCGACCAACGTAAATATACATAATCCCCTGTTAACAATGTTGGCAATGTTGGTAATGTTGATAATGCTATTATGTTATTAATGAGCAAAAATTCGAATTAATAACTAAATCAAATAGATTTGGAGAATATACATAGCCAAACCTATGTAAAAAATAAGTAATCGGATAAAGTAGACAATAACTAGGACGAAACGAGTATCGATTGTGTAATAATGGCAAAACGACAATCATCAAATATCATTAAAATTGCATTATATTGGTCCTCAAATAAGGTTTAAAGTGAACCAAACAAGAAAAAGCATCAAGTTTATGACATGACATATACTTTAAAGATTCTAAAAGGGCACTAAAACTTTTTTCAAAGCGCACGTTCTTATAACGGCTCCAGAAATCACATTTTAATAAACACATCCTTTGGCTTCTTTCACTCGAAAGAAGAACTTTATTTCCAATTTAGAAGAGGAGGTAATTGGAGCTGAAATTCGTAGAGTTGTAGAATAAGCTATCTTTCTACTGAATAATGGCATATTTGTGGATACTTTTTTTTTATCTGGGTCCATTTATTTTATTTTCTTCGATGGAGGGTTCTCCGTCTTCATCCCTTTCTTTACAGAAAATTTTACCTCTTGACTCCTGTTGGAGGAGAAGTCAAGATATATCACTATGAGATTTTGATTGTGAAATATCACAAGTAACCGCATTCCGTCAGTGTTAAAAAGGTAGTGAAAGCATGTGGGGAGAGAAAGGAGAGTTGAATAAAGAAATGGTGATATGAATGAGACATATTATACGTATTTGTTGAGACTACTTGTACAAACGTGGTGGCCTTTTCCATGCATGACTGGTCCTTGGCTGGCTGCAATGGTGGGAGGGAAGAGGTGGTGGTTGTGGCTAAAGAGCTGGATGATGGCCTCAGTTTCCCTCCTTCTCCCATGTTGTAATATAGGATAATGTAATACTTGAGTGGTATTCTACGAGGAATAAAGTGCGTCTAAAGACGTAAGAAATGAGAGAAGTCGGAGGAAATGGAGAAAGTAAAGAAAAAGTGCGAAAGTGAAAAATAGGATTGCAATAAATGGAAGAAGGGAGACTGAAGTCAAGATGCAGGCGATTTGAGGCGTTATGTTTCCGGGAAAAGCCACTTTCAGATTGAAAAATGGTTGAATGGCTAGAGCCGGAAAACCCCATTTTCGCATAACCCTTCTTTATTCCCTTTCTTACTTCTCCCCCATACGTGGACGGACACCTTTCTTTTTCGTGAAGTCGCCTAAATTTGACTTGTGCTCATCCACGACGACGACGACGACCAGAAGTACCACACGAACCCAGTGGTAGTGATACTAGTGATGGTTGGGGCCAGCAGAGAGAAAGACAGGCCGGATCTTGTGTCAGTAAAAAAGATCTCAAAATGCATCTTGACTTGAAGTGCTTCTTCTTCCTTCTTCTTTCCGGTCGGAGTATTTATTCCTTTCGTCCCACCTCGTAGGCTCGTAGGCTCACATTTTATGAATGTGTATAAAAAGTTTTCATAAATTTAAATGCTTATGAAAGAGAATTTTTTAGAACGAATACAATCCCACACTCGAAATAATAAATACTTTTTTTATATTTTGGCTTACGATGTATTTAGAGTAGGTACTAATAAAGCCGAATCAGAAAACTGGTGGAGATTAGGAAGTACACATTGTACGTCTTATATTAAGCATGCATACCAATTATTTTGAAATAGTCATGCAAGCAAAATTAATTTTTTTGTCTGCTTTTGTTTGTCTGTATCAACATTTAAAATATATTTGGTCTTAAAAAGTGACTTTTATGTTATTTCTCACAAGGCAGACAGCTCGTATTACAGGAGCAGTTAGGGAAACACTTGTAACAACAACAACAATCGTCTCAAGTGAGTGTGGGTAAATGGACTTTGTAATATTAGCCCGTGAGAATTTTCTTGCTTTTGCCATACTCTGGAGAACAGAGAACAGAGGAGTTTACATACTTCGACGGGAGAGAAGATCCTCCGTTTGCGGGCTTCACGGCCCAGCGAGAAAAACAAATAAAGTAGGTAACGAAAATCATACGCTAAGTCCACCTCGTTGTTCCGGAGTAAATTCGTCAGCACTGCTCCTATGCGGAAACTGCGGGATTGTCGTGTCTGCAGTAAAACGGCAACTTTGCATGCAAAGCGTGCAGCCAGCAAAGAAAGTAAAACTTGAACAGCAGCAGCGGCGTGCAGAACGTAACGCTCAAAGCCAGCCGTAGCCTCCCTTGTCGACAAAGCAAACACCAAACATCGTAAACACAGAATTCTGATATCTCACTGAACAAACTACAAGGTTTTCCTCATATGTGAGAATACTTGCATCCTTGCTGACTGCTTGTTACGAAAATTGTGCTGCTCAATCCACAAATTATAAACGGAAGCCCTAAGACCGAAAGGAAACTTTTGCCCTCACTAAGAAAAAATAAGTATAAGCAGTGGGTATGCAATTTTCGATGCGATGTTTAATTAAAATTGAATTTACTTGTGAATTTATGAACATGATATGGCGTCAACCTTCTCGTGTCTCGTGTTGTACTGAAAATTGAACATGAAATAACCCAATGAATGACCAGTAGTCGTATGTGTTTGACTTTACTCGAAACAATTGGACAACTACTACAGTGTTAAAAGTATGAAACAGTATTGACTGGCTAATCTAGGAAGTCATGTTGCAAGTTTGTGCATAACAGGGAATTACTAACCATTCATGAAAATTGAATAAACAAATAAGATTGCTCGACCATTTGGTGGTGGTGAATTTGACTGTCTCAGGTTTTTCAAATCTGGGCTGTTTGTTTTCTCTCTCAATGCAGTAGTAACCGTAACCATAATTGTTATATCCCCATTCTAAATAACTCTGTTTGAGACTTTGGGAAAATCTTTCCGAGTTTCTTGGCGTAAATTATGTCTCGCACAAAATATTGCTTTCAACAGTTGAAAATTAAAACATCTGCATAAAAGTGTTAACCTGTCGGTTTAGAACGAGCACTCTGTCACGTAATAAAGTACATGAATGTGTGGTTCAAGTGCAATTACTCCAGTTTAGTGTACATATAGGCGTGCGATGCTTTGACAGCACTGCACAAATCAATGAGATGTAGGGAATCCTATCTACTCATTTTCATTTTCAACTCCTCTGGGGTAAATTACCTTATATACTCTTGTCGTTGTTGGAAGTTTTCGGTGGGAGGGTTGAGGTCAATATTATCTACGTTGGATACATGCATATGTAGGAAACCAGGTCCAAGTAAGCAGTCTGAACTACTACCCATCGTAATATCAACAGCCCATTGCAAGGGAATGCTCTTACTCAGAATGTCCATGCTTATTGAGGTAACGACAAATTGATGATTCTTTGGTTGTTGTAGAAGAGAGTGAGCTGCTGAACTTCAACTTGGCCAAACAAGGGCTGGTTCTGGGCGAAGGGAGATGAAAGGCTTACTTTGAAATGGGATGTTTTGTGTTCAGAATTGAAATTTGGAAATGTTCGGTTCTCAAATGTTGAATGTGAACTCCCTCAAGACTTGATTGGTGGTGGTGAGTTTTTGTGTGGTGAAGAATCAATTTACGAGTATTTCCTGTTCTTTGCCATCATAGACCACGCAAAACGGAACGCACGGGAAAGGATGCATGGTTTTCATCCATTATATAAAGTACGCACATCACCCTTACCAATCCATCTCTGAGATTGGGAAGAATGGAGAGACGCGTCGAGTTCATTTCCAGGTCGCTTTTTGGTTCTCTCTTCTTTATACTTGCACCAGCAGATAAGATGTATAGGCGCTGGCAAATTGAGTTGTTTTCTAAACCAACAATACCAATAGAATTTGTACCCAATTCACACCCACCCTAGATATTTGCATGAGTCTCAAATGACATTTGAATTTTCAATCTGTGAGAGTCTACAAGAAATTTAATCGTGAATATTTTTTTAAATGGACAGAACAAAGGCTATGAAATATATGAAATATGTATACTTGCATAAAGCAGATTTTGTATTAATATTACATCACGAAAGATATATTTTCCCTGGAACAATTGCACCGAGTGAATAGATGGATGGTGGATAGCTTCACTGTACTAATTAACGACTATTCCTCCCGGGATTGTGTTTCCCGTTTTACTGCCATGACTGTGTTTGTTTCATTATGATTTCATTACATAGTTGACAAAACCCTAACGAAACCACCACCCACGAGCTTTGCGAGAGATTACCTTGTTGCAAGATGCTTAACAAAACAACCTGCTCTTTCATTCACAAGTGGGAATCTTAAGTGTGTCTCGTTGTATGGTTTGAATATTTATGGTCAGTTTGGGTCTGTTTAAGATTCATCGGTAGTAAAACGTTCTCTCAGTCGTAAAACTGTTGAAACCAACTTTACGATTTCATCTCAGGGAGCTTGAGTTGGTTGTTTTATTCAGAAATGAATGGAAACAGTGCAGTTGAAGGTGTATCTAAATATGTATGTGGATACATGACACGACACTGTTTCACCATTTCAAATAATATGTTTACTACTGTCAACTCTGTGATGCCAAATAAATTCTAATGCTCATGTATATATTTGCATATTTGCTTTCCTTAAATCACTCCTTTTGATTGCTTTTCCATTTCCTAAGTATATGTGTTCCACATTTGCTTATATTATTTTATGTCCTAGTACTCATGTCTCAATATGTACACGTTTCTGTCTACGTAGGTACATATATCACTAATTTTGTGCTCTCTGAACCTACCGAATTCAAAGCTTGTGATGAAATTCTAAGCATATTTTTGTAGGTTTGCCATTTCTCTTTACAGTTCCAATTGAACATGTGGAAGGCGTGCTGGGGTCTCGTGGCAAGCTTCCCTGTGACGTCCGGGTGCCTACTCGAACGGATAAACTGCATATGGTGTTATGGTTTCGAGATAAGGATGCTGAACCCATTTACAGGTAATGAGAACCTTGACACTTCACTCTGTATAAATTACTCATTCGCATGAAAGTAATTACTTTTGACTAACTACAGCTCATGAAGCAGCATTAGTTTGTAGCTCTCTGGGTAGCAAAATGTTATCACATACGAATATCATCCTCGTGCATTGTGGGGGTTGATGAAATTTTGCTGATGGCGAACTCTTCTGCATGCAAGGATTCCGGTAGTGAGTTTCATGTGCTGGCGGTATTAGGGAATTGATGATGTAAATACCACAATGCATGATAATCCCAAAGGGATGAGTAAGGAATACAAAAGCGCTTTCTCATTTATTTAACTGTACAGTTCCCCCAAGATCTCATGTGGAATTAATGACTAACTATTAGTCTATGGCGGATGGATGCTATGGATGTGTACGTTAAATCTATGTCCTGTCAGACGGAATTCAAATCCAAATTAGTGACCAAAACTTTATTAGGCAGTGACGCACTCTGTCATCATTGAACTTTAGCTAATTTGATTATTCTGGGAAATTCTTAATTAAGGATATTTATTTATACTTAATTCTAAGATAACTACGTCGTTATAATTACGGATTAACTGACCCGTAAATATCATTTCAACTTATGCATAAAGACATGCTGCATTTTGCAGATGTACCTGTACTCATTTTTACGTTTAAATTATTTAGAAAATAATAATCTGAATTCGGCTGGATTAATGCCATATTTTATTTGCTTGCTATTCGAGAACTTTTTCTAAGTAGAGATGAATATAAAACGATTTCCATGTAGCTGTTCAGAACAGCAAAACTCGCCGTTCACCATACATTTTCCACCTAGCAGAAAATAGACAAGTCATCTTGAATTACAGTTCAACGCAACGTCTGCCTCTCTCCATCAGACAGGCTGCTTTATTTTCCGTGGGGAAATATGTAAAACTTCCGGAAGAATCTAACCGGATGAGAACTTTGTATACTTCCATAAGTGAACTAAATTTGCTATTCACTCTCTCACCAAATCCCACCAAACCCATGCCGAGAGTAGAAATGAGGTCGGACACTGTACTAAGGGACACGGGAACTTTGTAAACCAAACCAACACGTTGTTTGACTAAAAGAGTTGCAATCCGTTGGCGATCCGTGTGCTTGAGTGCGTGAGGAGAGCGCAGGGGAGGAAGGGCCAAGATTGGCACTAAAATGTGGAGAAAGGTCAAATTTCGTATGTTTGGCTTCCAGTATGGGATGAAATGAGGTGAATTTGGAAGTGGAAGAGGGAGAATTACTGGCTGAATGACAACACTGTCAGCCTACTTTATGACCACCAAAAGTATTCCTGTGAAATAAAATGTTTTATGGGGGCAACTTTGGAGGTATGCACAAGGAGAGATATATATTCATGATATGACTCTACTTATATGCACCATGCATATCCTTGCATAGATATCAACGCAAACCATAAGGATGAAGCAGTAAAAGAAAGGATTTATAGGAAATGGAATATGAACTGGGTGTAAAATGGACGTAATAGGTAACTGGAGTGAAAGTGGGCTACTCGTATCACTACCACGCAGATTTACCAAATTCCACAAATTCACGACTTTCTTCCTTCGCTCACATTTTGCAGAGAAAGGTTGACATATTTTTCTCTCCTGTAATATTTCCAAATTGAATTTTCAGTAGCGGATTTATTTTACGCGAAGCATTTTTCACCAATGCAAATTTTACTAACTGAATTCAATATTTAGTACTTCAACCGATAAAACATTTATAATTGTAAAAAATTAACTAGCTCGGATGTTATTAATTTAATTTCACTGTGTTAAAATTCTAATTGCAAAGTAAGTTATAAGTGAGCAGAGTCCAAGATGGGTGTAACAATGGCTGCGAAGGGAATATGTGGGCATGGCAGAACTCTTTAGGCCATGATAAGAACTTTCCCCATCCCATTACTTCAGACAACATATCAAGATAACAGGGTGTGACATTTCCTTATTCATTTTCGTTATGCGGAAGTAGGTCGTGCATTCCTTGTAGATACGATCCTTCATTCCTTCATTCATTCGCAGACCGATTCGCATTGTTACAATTAGATACGAATTGAATTTATACTCGATTTATAAATATTGAACGTCTAGCATTTGTGGTGGTGGTGGAAACCGTAGTCGAAAGTTTGTATGGCTCCTCAGTTTGAGAGGGTAAAGTGGCGTCTCTTATTCCTCACACAGCACACATACTCGGTCTCGTTCGCATTCAATCTTGTTGCTAAAGGGGAAGAGATGGATCGCATGTTCTGGATGCCGTTAAGTTTAAAAGTTGTATTATTGAATGCACACAACATTAGAGTTAAAGGAACAAAAATCTGTCTAGAATACGAATGGTGAGGTATTGATTTGCAGTAAATTTTTTGTCGACCAGTCCGTGCTGATCCTTCATCCATTGAAATTTTTATTCTCTACATACATCCACCAATTCCCTGTGGATTTGATCCTCTTGGTTCTCTTGTCCTGTCTGCCATCCCACATATACCACCGTGTATTGCCTGCTACGTTCAATAATCGTAGTTTGTCACAAATATGATCTGCAGTAACATAATTGTAAGCTGATTATTGACGGAACAATCAGATCCTAGAAGAGAAGATTGGTTCATCTTGAAGTTTATACACATTTCCAACTTTGTGGTTCAAAAAGCAAATCCCAAAGTTCCTCCATACATAGTCCTTCCCAGACGAATAGGTACGATCATAAGAATTTCACGATTCCATTTTTAGTGCAATATGTATTTTATTCTGCAGCTATCAAACTCCTCGTCCCTCTTTCCATTTCAACTGCGTGCATACAAACATATAAACCAGTGCGGACTGGAAAACCGAATTGTGCTGGACACGTTGAAAGGAAAAGCCCTTTGTCGCTTTGAAGTATTAGGCTCGTATCTGGCTAAAACCGACAAGGCCATTTGTTATTCTTTTTATTCGTGAGTTGAAATCCTAAATAGGCTGCGTTGGACAGACGGATTTTGATGGAAGGGGAAAACCTTGATAAGAAATTCATCGGTTTTCTTCTTCCCATCCGTCCAACACGTATGTATGAATGTATGCTCAGTTAATGTCTTATTCTTCAGTGTTATTCTAGTGCACTCGTATTATTGTTCTGTCCTAGTGATTGTCATCCTTTCTAATTCATAACATTTGCATAACTCCTTGAAAAATTAAAAATGCGGTTACATAATTCCATTAAAAGGGAGTTCTTTGGTGGAACTATACATTTCTGTCATCAATATTCATCACTCACTTTCCCATGGCAAGTAAAAAGGGCTGTTGTTTGTAAAAGGCTGCTAACGACTAATGATATATAAATATATAAACGAATCCACAAAGCAAAATCCCTGGTGTCCCTTTGGACTCCATTATACGAACGGACGTAGGCATGTGTGTATGTACAACATAAATAGTCAATCGCCCTCTTTCACTATGCGAATATTATATGCTCGCTAATGTTTTGGGTACATTTTCATTCTTGGTGAAAGTGAGATGAACATGATCACTTAATAGCGAGAGACAGTGAGAACGACGTGCATCCGCCGTTGGTATTCGAGGGTGAAAATGTTTCCAGATATTTATTTATGTAGGAAAGGAACTAAAGTAGATAGAAAACACTGCGTTATGCAGGATTTTATTGTGCTCGTCTGCATTACAACTTATTGCATAACGTTCATCTTCGTTTCCGTTTCACATTCAAAATTCAACATCAACATTCCACCAATTTAATGTAAAGTACAGTGTATAATGGGGAGAAAGCATGGGCGTGAGTGTGGTAGGTAATGCGTGCAAGTGAAGGCAAATCCCCAGCCCACATTCACAGTGAAATATTCACATGTTACATGACAAGGGAGAGGGAAGTGCTTCCTTGACAAAATTTATTTATGACCTTCCGTCACTTCACGTACCTCGAAGCAATATGGATTTATGAGAGTGCGCCATAAGACACACATCCTCGAGAACTAACACTGCATACTCCAACCAACCAACTGCTTACTTATTATACACAGAAAGAGTCGAGAGTTGTTGAATGTTCCAACTGTTGTTGTGTTCAGGTACGACGACGACAACGACGACTTGGTTATCTTACTTACACTGCTGAGCAAAATTTTCCGCCCCTCTTTCTCACTATTGCCAGATTCTGAAACTCCGAACATTTATACTGTGTGACACGAAGGTTGTTTTAGGGTGGATCCTGTTTCTATTTTGAACCCACAAGAGTTGTAAATTTTTAACCCTGTTTAAAAATAGTGATCAAAGGTTTCTATATAATACATCAAACTTGATAAGACGAGTTGCTCTAGGTAGACCACAAAAAAATAAAACCACTAATTGTAAGAACAAATTCGTTGTGCTGATTTTTGGTCAGAGGTCCTCAAAAGCTAACCTTTGCCCTGTGCATGCATAAACGGGATGCAACCACAGATATCTTTGACTACCAATTTTGAAACATAATAGTCAGAAACGTGGACCAGCACTTTTGCTCAGGAGTGTATGTTCAGGATCTAACAGAGACGTACGTATGGTATATCCGTGAATAAGAAAACAACTCGAATACGTTTTCTCCTTGTCTTTTTCTTTGCATGGGAAAATAGGCATGACGAGAACATCACTTCATTTTTTATTACTTTTACGTTCTCTCGTCCATTTACCAAATGAAATAACAACAGACGTTCCACGGTTTATTGTTGTACTGTGGGGAATCCCTTTATTGTCATATTGCTTACTTTTATTTGATGCTCATGTCAAGGTGGGGCAGGAAGTACGGAGGTATACATTTGTGCGATGTATTTATACGCTTGCATTGATATCATACCTGCAACAAATCGGATGGAGAAAACAGAACAAAAATACCGTAGTTTTATCGTACCGTGCGTAAAAAAGTACCTGTATGATTTCCAACTTGTGGACAGAAAAGCAATTTCCAAAACTTTTAATTTGAACTGTCGCAGAGATACAGTTTTCCAATTGTTAATATTTTATGACATAAAAGATAAAAGTAAACATCTGAATTCCAAACCATCTTCAATTTTTAAATGGATTTACGCACAAAGAGTGACGAAAAAGTAAATTCACTTTTGCCTCTAAGTCTGCTGGGATTTGACGTTGTAAACACCACACCAACGCAAAAAGGAAGCACAAAAGAAAATTTCAAAATGTTCAGAATGTTAAAAAGTTTCATTGAATAACTATTGACCAATATACTGTCAGAATTCACGAGTTCACTCACATTCCATGTTTCCTGTATGTGAAATGTAAATATGTCGAGATTCGATGTGTTAGCTGGCAGTCAACAACAAAGTGGATGCGTTGTGTCAAAGTGTGTAGTGGTGATAGTAGAATACGTACAGAAGTAGTAGGAGTGAAAGTACGCACTTGTGATGCAAAGTTTTCCTCTTTTATTAAACTTTTCATCACTCTTGAGGCTATAACCCCAGGAAAAATCTCGACACTTGGATAGTTAGTTACACAAGAGGAGTGCCTTATATGTACAGGAAGAAAACGGGAACATTGGATCTTGTGGGAAACATCATCTTCACACCGAGGTCGACTCTGCGACCAAGAATTCTCTTATGCCGCTGCTTAAGCAGTGATAAGCAACACTTACCACCTTCTCTCCCATCGCTTTCATCCAACTCTTGCACAGAAAGAAGAGTCAAGGATTCGGAGAAAGCACAAAGAAAGGGCGAAGAGCAGCAGCAGCAGTAGTGGTTGCTTGGCTCCTTCAATCTCAAAGTTGGGGACGCTCCTCTTCTTCTTCTTCCTTCCTACTTAGCGAACTCGTGTGCTGCTGGTTCACGACAATGCTGGGTAAAATTTCTATTATTAGGAAGACCACGATACTTGTATGACGATGACTATCAACTTTCAGCCACACTTTTCCTTCGAGTAATGGTCGGTGGGGAGATGCATATAATAGTGCTAAGCAAATGGCGCAACGGCCATGATAAGAATAATCTGCACATACAAATGACAACAGAGGAAAGAACAGAGGGAGAGGAAGGAATGAAGAGGCTGGGAAAATAATTTTGTTGAACTTTCACTTTGCAAATGAGACGTTGGCAACAAAAGTGTTGAAATTGTTCAAGTGTAAGCACTCAGATAATCAAGTAAGAAAAGTAAAAGAGATAGTTAGTAGTAATCGCAGTAATGTGACATCGTGGCCATTAGTGTATGAGGCCAGATTCCTCCAGTTATGCTTATGTGCTTGCTTCCTCGCCTTATTTCGATACAAACTGCTCAAATTTTGTGCAATTGAAAGAGTTAAACCATTGTTTTGTACAATTATGGCAAACGTTTTGTTCTTGTGTGTCCAGAAAAATTTATTTCTGAACCGAGGACTTGTTTTATCATAACCATGTTATTAATGGAATGACAAGCTAAATTTGTTAACAATGAGATTCAAATATACGTTGATATGGACTTTACTACGAAACTAGTTGGTTTTACTGCGTAAATCAAACGGTTTTATCAGTTAAATAAGTGTGAATAATATCACAAACTTGTCGCTCGTTGTTCTTTTGAATTTTATAATTTTGTACCCTAAAAGTGTTCTTTTCCGAATAATATGTACCTCTTAAATAAGTATTATTATTAAATGTAGAATGGGGGAAAGTGAATGAGCGTCAGCTAAGCAAATGCATAATCATAGCATGGAAGAAAGTCAGCTTGGATTAATCAGAACGAGTGAGTAAAAGTTGGTAGGGAGGGTGTCGCGGAAGCCCCTTGACTAAAATATTTACTACGATATGATTAGAACTTTCACACCTTTAATTATGATTTGACAGAAAATCTGATTGACCTCCACATCAATAACCAGTGCAATTGGAATAAAGACGTGCGAACTTGGTAGAATATTTAAAAAAAACAGGAAATTCAATTTTAGACCTTCCTTTCATACAGCATAAACTAAACATTTTTGTATTATATGTGCAGCCAAAGTTATAGGAATTAGATTAAATTACACGTTTGGTTTTAAATGAATGATTTTAAATGAATGTTGTATTTTTTGCAGATACGACGTGCGAGAGAAATTGTTAACGGACGCGAAGAGATCATCCGTCTTAGGAGAAAGACTATATTTTCAAACCATGTCGGATCCCGCCCACCTATCCATTCAAGATCTCCAAGCAAAGGACGAGGGAATTTATCGTTGCCGGGTGGACTTTAAGAATACTCCGACCAGAAATCTCAAAATCAACCTTACCATCATCGGTGAGTCTTTAGTTGTCTTGTCCAGTGTCATTTGTAATGTCATTAGTCTACTCAGCTTTGACGGCAGACAATGACCATTACCGTTACTCATATCTTTCTCCAGGCATGGGGTTGGACACCATAAAAACTGATATGACAATGACACGTCAGCACTTAGCTCTTGCTCTTGTAACACACTGACAGGAACGTGACAATTTTTTATGAACCATTTCATAAAGAAAGGTCTCCTCCGTAGACCAAGCGTACGCCACTGATAACAATGCTAAAGCTTGGATAACTGTGTCATCATATATGTAATGTCGTATTTAGCTGCATCGATATCATCATCAGCGACTTGAGGATGAATTGAGATGTCAAAAGATCTCATCGACCCAGCCTCAAGCTCTGATTTCCTCTTCGTCGTATCAATCATTTTAGATTCAAGTATTTAAACGCCCAAGAGTATAATGTGTTTTCGAGCAAAATTTATGTAATTCATGACATGAACTCCTCCATATGATTCGTATTCGCAACATTTGATAATACATTGAATTTTGATATAGTTTCTTACTTGTCACATTATGTAGAACACGACTTGCATTTCAAGCCATATTTTACACTTTGAAGTACCAATACAGCAGCACCCGATCCTTGTTAGAAAACTATGCACACCTGCTGAAACTTTTGGTGAGGGTATTTTCAAGTTAGACGACTAAAAATCGTAGCTTAAACAAATTAAACTCAGTTTCTTTCTGACAAAAAAACCGTGCCTGACAAAGTTGGCATGACACAAAAAGGAGTGTGGCCCCGCTTTAAATAAACCATTGTAGAGTGTTCTGGGATAAAAGGGAAAGGTACAACTCTCATTCGGGAGCAGACAAAGCAAAAGTCATGCAGAAAGCAATGGCGGAAACCATTATCATTTGTGAGCATAATTTCTTTCTCGTCCTCGAAACACTTTACTTTGTATCACTTTCACCAAAGGGACGAGGATTGCTCCGTCGAGACTTTGAATCCAGCTTTGAAATTAAATCTTGGAGGCAGATAAGAGCACTGAATGAGCTCCTTGTTTGCAACAAATTAATGAATAATGAGAGCACAAAGGCAGGAAGCAATTAGAAATCTGCATTCAAATTTCCATTCGGCTCAGATGAACATTATCCACGATTGACAAATGCACCTTGTCTTTCGCATAACTCGAGTAAATTATGGTTAGTCGTGTGTAGATGTAGCTAAGCTAGTAACTCGGTTGGATCAGCTTAGGAGGAGCATTAAACACGATGCTTCACGGCTTCACCGAAGAGAGAACCGTGACCAGAGTTGACGATAAGTCATCAAACAAGCGTTAATGCACTGTCGTAATTCCACCCTATTCCGATTACCAGAAAATTTCTACTGTCTGCTTCTCATCTCTGCAACCAACAGAACTCATTTATCTGCTTTAACCGATGGTAATGAGATTAACACCCACCCGCAGCTTCTCATAATTGCCCCACCAATCTATAATTTTCTGGAATTTTCTGAAAGTCTTCGTTGACGACGACGACGGCTCTAATTTTTTTTATATTTACCATAAGAAAAATAGTCGGCTCAGTATTTCTACCAGAGAAATTGCAGGTATGTGTCTACATACATATATTTAATAAGGCCAAGGTCTCGAAATAGTCGTAATTTCCGATTAACAATTGATGCGATAAGGTAATCTCTGACAGCTTGTTGTATGCGCTGTTGAAGCCAACGTCCCGTCGCCTAGCTCTTCCCCACTCGAGCAACAAAGGAATGAAAATAAAGAAAATTGAAACAGGAAATAAATGCCGAGTTGCAGGGAACAATAAATGAGCAAAGGAAACACGACGCACCATCAAATGCGCTTATCAACTGATGCACAATTTTCCTTTTCGGGAAACCTTTCTTTGTATTCCTATTCTCCCACCTACAGATATACATGCATGCTCTGCTACTAGCATTTCCACCACGGCCGAGACTCTTCCCTTCACCGGTCTTCAAGATAAATGCAGCAGATAGGCGCTCTCAATTGCATATTTATCTTTCTCCACTTTCTGCGGGGAAAGTAGTTTCGAGCAGTACGTACGTGTGGTGTGAAACCATTGAGTTCAATTACACTGCACTTGCCACCCAATTGTTCCACAACCCAGTCCATACTTTGGACATACACCAGCGTTGAACATCCATACGAATATCAACCTCGAATAAAATCAAACCCGTCGAACCGAGCGTTCCTTCTTTTCTCATGCTCCCTTTGTGCAATGAGTCGAACGCAATTCTCACAGTGATGGCAAGAAGGATCTGAAAAATGTAGTGTATTTGTAACAACCAATCCTGTCCGCCTCCTTCCATGTTTGTATCAAAGTTTGCTTTAGTGAACACTCAACAATGCCTACTCGCACTGCGAAGGAAATCAATTGGCATAAAATTGAAGCTTTTCCCTTTTCTTGCTCTCCTGGTTCAATCGAGCCATTTACTGATAGCCAATCAGTCGCCTTGTTGGTCAATTCTCTCCGCTAAATATTTCATGAATGAACGTGCTGCCCATCAAGCTCACCAGCTCTCTACCCTTTTTGTGTTCAAATGTTCCTTTTCTGGTTCCAAGTTCACCTACATGTGTGTACGTGCGAGAGAAGAGTGGTTAACGGCTCAGGTAAGCAAGGCACCAACTACGAGATGCAACTTTGGAAGATCATGCACGTCAATATGTATGCAAAGTGCAGGGGAAAATTACTGAATTATAAATGCATTCAAAGGGGGAACATCTGGAGCGCGAGGACATGCATAATTTTAAAGAGTGGGATCATACGACAACCACAAAATAATATGAATGAATCAAAACTTGTGCGACATTAGCACGAGTGGGAGAAAGTGAAGTAAAGTGGCTCTCACCACACCACTTTCAACCTATTTGCCAGTTTGATACCGATTTTGGAATTGGGGAGGATGAAAGACATGTCCTCTGAAGATGAGAATTCTGAGTCTAAAATAATTGGATCACGTTTCACTGGGATAATTTAAAAAGTTAGAAGTAGGAGAAAGAAGGGGCACAACGTTGTGTGAACCAAAGAGTCCTTTTCACTCTGTGTTGCGTTTCTGCCTGTGTTCTTCCTCTTCATCTTGAGGAGCATAGCCTGCTCTTTTGCGGATAACGGGGGAAAATCGATAGGTGGAGTAGGGACATTTCTTTAGGACGCTCATCTTGTCAATTTAGTTCCAGTTCGTTTTGGCGTGGATTTAAGATGAAGTGAGTGAAGACACTTGGCATCTGTAGAAAGAAATTATAGCGATATAAAACGTCTTCTTCTTAAACATTTCTGCGTGGAAAAGACCAAACTGTGCAGTTCCACCGTCCTCGTAATATCATAACAGCCTTTGCAAACAAGGGGCTCTTGGTGGTTGGGCCAGAGTGCGGTGGTCTATTGTGCTATAGATGTCGATAGTAGTGGGGAGAGCATATAAAGAATAACATGAATCAGAGAGCGAGAGACTTACTTTAGGTTGACGCTTGGTTGGTTGGTCGGACGTTGCTGTTTGACTTTCTTTCCTGGTCGCAAGGAGTTGGCGAGTGACGCTGATATCGTTTACACGTTGGGTTGAGATGGACGGCAAAGTTATGTAAAGGGACAAGGACTGTTGGCAATGCAACTTTTCTCCAAAAATGGGTTCCACATTCAAACCACCGAATCGTATTCCTTTCCTTTGCTGCCTGGCTGGCTTGCGACTTTGGAACTTTTGAGAATTTGCTTTCTCTCCAGGGAAAACTTGTAATCGGAAATCAATGCTGAATCTAAAACCAAAGCTTTGCGAAATGCACTCGTTTTTTCCTCCTCCATTCCACGGGGTACGTATAATAAGACGAAAGTTCAAAAAGTTTTGTGTCTGGTGTTTTTATAAACATGAGACATCAACTACGGGCTCAGTCGGAGGGGAGACATATAATTTGGAAAAGAAATAACCTCTTTTAGTTTAATAAACAAACTTCTTTCTCCGATTGCCAGCCATCATTGAGGAAATGTAAGCGTTATGGATGAAAGGAGTGAAATTCGCAAGGGTATAATATCAGAATAAGGTATGTATTTTTCCTCTAGTGGCAGATTGCATCATCATGTTTCTTCATGCATAGGGTTAAAACTTTGAGAATGCTTTCAATCCACACTCGCCCCCACCAAGTCAAGTGGTGCAGTTACTGGAAGAGGAAAACTTTGGGGCTTTGATTCAATTTACGGTTCAGTGCAGGTTACTTTGCAATCGATATACAAAATGATTATGTAAAGTCTCTCTTACTTTCGTGCAATTGAATGAATTTATACTGCATCTACGTCATGTAAATAATGCTCAAGAATAACATCAACTTATTCTGACTTCAATCCAATGCTCTTGTATTGCACATTTCGGAAAGTTTTCAGTTTTAAAAATTTATTTTTCACACCCGGTCAATTATGTGAAGATTTCTCATTTAATGATGCAAAATAAGACTCGAATTAAACACAAATAATTTTACTCTAAACAATATTTATACAAATAAATAGGTATCTACATATGTACATGCATATTAATCTTCATTTGTTTAAGCATACTTTGACATAAAATTATAATCACAAGGCTCCACTTGAGACAACCTCAGCATTAGAATTACGGGAAGTCAGAGATTTTCAGCCGTGTCTATTCACTAAAATTGAAGAGTTATTGAAGGGCCTATATCTGCATATGAGCAGGAGTGGTCTGGGATATAGATTACCTGCATTTAAACAACTGGAAATTCCATAATCCGAACATTCGGGGCGCATTGTTGAAAATAACTCTTTCACCAAATCAGCCATGTGTGCATAAATCTCTCTCTCGTTCTCTCGCGTATGAGGGGAAAAGTCTGAAAAGGAAATTCAATCATCCTGGTTTTAGTTTATGGTCACTCAGTTCAACCACGAATAGTTTGAAGTTGAACTAATATTTATTTGCTTGACCTCAGCTCAAACCCAGCCATGCTACAGCAATATTGAGTTGATTGTGATGAACCGGATGCCATCATTATTTATGCCGTGGAGGATGGAATATATAACCAACTGGGAGCCGGCTTTATACGCTGAATGCTACACAACCGACCGCAGACTGAATAGATTGACTTTCTTTGACCGCTGCGTTGGCGTTGGCAGAAAAAGATGGCTAGGTAGCAGAAATGGACGTGAGGTGTATAATAAAATTACTCTGCGGGAAAAGTTGCTTTATTTGGAATACAAACTCAAACAAGTTAAACATACAGAACGAATAGAGAATGATGACGAACACACAGACAAAGTCGCACACACCACTGGCTCGGCCTGACTGATGCATTTCATGGTACATGCAAGAACGAGACCTCGTTTTACTAGTTAGTCGTCTACAACAAGAATACATACATATTTTAAAACAAGTGGAGATTAATTATACTTTAGAAACAAAATATGACTTTACACAAATAAAGACTAATTGGCAATCCTAACGACGCGTATATTTTCCATAAATGCACGAGTTACAAAAATTCTCATTTTCAAAATCATTTGTTCTTTTTTACTCTGACCTCGGAACCAACGCCAAGAATTTGGAAGGAAATTATGTTTTCATTATTTCTTAGCCTGACTGATGGGCTACGAAATCGCTTGATTTCTGTCCGATTAACAACATCCGATGTCCTTCAAGCCTTGATGTGCTTGAAATTTGTCAGACACAAAATAAGAAATCTGATTTCAAAATGTCATGGCCGGGTGACCCACATGTTTTTTCTAGAAATTATGTATATGAATGGTTCAGGCTGACATGGAGAAACCAATAATTAAAAATGAAAATATTGGTTGAACTCGTTCATTTTCCGCAACGTTATGAAGGAGCGATTGCCATTAATGACGGGGTGAAAAGTGGAACGGAATTAAAAATTGGGTCATATTGTCATGTCATCCTGTCTCTACCAGGGAGAAAGTTGAGAGAGAGAAAGCACATTGTAAAGTGACACAAACTTTGAAATGCAAGACATTATACTACTTGTGATGCATTTGTGTTCTGTGTTTTAACATAACTTTCTGACGTTGACTGTCTTGTTTTATTTCCAGTTCCTCCCGAAACTCCGGTGATAGTGAATGACGCCAATGGGATCTTAGCTTCCAACAACCAGGTCGGACCCTACAATGAAGGCAGCCCCTTACGGCTAACTTGCGAAGTTTCTGGAGGTAAGCCATCACTTGCGCTTATTTGCTTTATAATATATTACTTAAGGGTGTTATACTACGTCAATGTACAACGTGTAGTAAACGTAATAAGTCATCCGATTCTCTCAAAATTCTCCACATCACAATGGATAGAGGAAAATCGTACGAAATAAATGCACATAAAGCTAGAAACCATAAACACTACCTCAAACTTTAAATTATGCCAAAAGTTAATTTTAATGTTGAAATGACGAGATTAAAATTACAAGAATTTTCCTAATTACGAAATGTTACCAAACTTTTCCGAGCATTAAGCCTGTGTCGTAGCGACATGCGACGTGACTGATTTTAATACGTACATTCGAGGGCTTCATGATTTGTCAGAATTTGTCAAGTGAAATGATGTGCAAAATATCCAATGACATCCGACTTTAATGCTAATCGACCCACTGTATAGAGTGATATGGATGTAGGCCCAGTTCATACGTCCATAAAGTTTCGGTGAGGTGCACGAGTGGCAAAGTTGATATGCATCTATTTGATTAGAAGTAACAGCGTGAAGAAGAAAACTTTTTACCTTGCGCTCTAAGTTTATATTGCTAATGAGGTTGAAAGTTATTAGCACTTCCTTTGCGGAGAAAAGTTACCCAGTAATCTTGATAAACTGTCCATTTAATACTTTACTCGAGGTAGTCATCGTCCTTGTTGCTTTCTTGCTGCTCCATGTAGACAAGCTGAAATGCTCAGTTACGTTGGGCATCATGGCCGTATAATAAAAACTTTACGCGCCTCTATTCATATACAAGACTCAATTTTATACTTTATTGCAAGTGCTTAAATACATGTAGTATTGCACTTCCTAAGGTTAGGGCAAAAATGCAATAATTATAATCAAGGTTTACAAAGTGTATAAATACCATTTTCAGGGTAAAATTGCAGTTTTGTGCTAATGTGGTGTCCGTAGAATTGGAGCCATTATGGATATTATTACAACCTGCCTGTCGTTCTAAGCAAACCATTTAAGTAATTGAGACAACATCTCTCAGCCGTCCTTCTGACCTCATAATAATTACAACAACCATGCACCGCTCGCCTTTCTAATAGATGAAGAAATGAGGCACAACTGAGTAGAAAGCCAGCATTTCCACTGACACATAGCGCTGACTTGTCAATGCTACGGAAAGGAAACTTGAGACGGTGAAAGTTGTGTGGGAAAAGGGTGTTAGCCAAACATTACTTCATTTCACTGACAGCAAACCGAGGCCATAATATTCGGAAACCAAGTTGGGTTTAGTTTACTACCTTGGGAGAATTGGGTAGCAACGTCATGAACCCATTAGTCAAGGATGCGTTGAGGTCTCTCTCTTCCTCTCAGGCACAGAGTTACAGAGTAAATGAATGGACACAGAATACCAACCAACCAGCCAACAACTCTCACTCCTTGGAAAAACACATTTGATTTTAGTCACCCGCAGCGTACACACGTATGTTCGTACACATGTACATACACATCGAGCTAAATATGTACTTCTAGAAGAGGAGAGAACAATGTGGAATTCCAGAAAACAGTGTTGGAGTCAGTGACCGAAGAAGAAGAACCACTTTCCCAACCAACCTTAGTCCAATGTCATGCTTTTACTATTTCGTAACTTAAATGCTGTTCAAGAAACAGCGAAATCATCTTTGGCCTTTCCTTGCTCAATGAAAACTCTGGCAGTTGGAATTGCCAGAGTTACTTTTTCGTTTCGTATGAGATTGAAAAAAAAACCCTGCTTTCTCTCAAATGAACTTGAAGATACTTGGAAAGTCGTGAATTCATAATGGGGGAAAAAGACCACACGTGGCAACACCAAACTTTCAAGGTTGTCACTCTTTTATCGGGAATGACTGTGTCGAAGAGTTTTGTTCAATGAGTCGGACCAGCGAGATGAAAGCAGCCAAAATACGAATTTTATTTCAACCCGAACCGCACTAAAACAATGGCATTGCTCCTCCTCAGCACCGTCCTGATCTGTCTTTTGTGTCAATTTCCAGCTCACCCAGTCTCCTTGAGAACAAGTTTTGTAGTGTCGAATCCTTTACAAAATCTTGCAGCTGTGGGGAGGTGAAGAGGAGGCGAAGACATCTGCTATTAACGAAGAAAGTCCATTTACGAATTTACTATCGTACGCTATGGCAAAATGTGGTTAACATCTTCGTTTGGCAGCGCACGGTATAAAATAAATTCTAGCGTTAATTCGGTTCAAATGAAGTTCAACTTTGATTTTCTTTTATCAGTAAAACCGGATAGAAAGGTAACCATAACCATACGGCCATGGGTATAGAAATAGCCATTAAACCAGTACATATGTATCTCCAGAAATAACCAGTGCACAGGTCAAGTAACCACAACATTCATCAATGGTGCGAGGGTGGTGGTGGTGCTCAAAGAAGAAAAAGCAAGGAATTTTGTAATACTTCTTTAGCAACACTACGTACGTAGTTCTTATAATGGCGTAAATTCTATGGTGAAAGAAGACGTGAAATCCATCTCCAATCCATTTGTAACTCTTGTCATTTGTGGTCACCCAATTACACTCTTTGGGCTTCATCACTCACTTTCTCTAGTTTTTCTTTTATTGTGTAGTTCTTTCCGTTTCTCACAATTTTGCACCACACGGCAGAACAGAGCGGTCATCAACGCTCTTATCTCTCGCAGAACAAGCAGACGAGCGCGGACCGAGGAGAAAGAATGAGGTGTGGTGGTAACTAACATAACAAATTTCTTCCTTGGTCGAATGAAGGAAAGAGTGAAATGAAATCCGCCGTCTTTTGTGAGATTGAGAAAAAGGAGGAAAAGTCGGTGAATGAATGCTTTCCTTGTTGAACACATTTAGTCTGGAAATATTTCCTTGGAGTAATTAAGGGTTGGTTTGGCAGCAGCGGTGGTGGTGGTGAACGGGTCGAGCTTAATTTTGCCTGCCCACCCCGACTAGTTACATTAACTGTGAGCAGTGAAGTGGGAGAAAGTCGTAACATTTTTTTATTCTCGGTCGTTTCCTTGACCAAATCAGATCTCAGCTAATCCCTCTAACCTGGCTTATCTGACCTCGACACGCATCATTGCTCATTGGTTTAACTTTCTGCTAAAATCTACACCAAAAAATCAATACATTCATACAAAAGAGCATACATGTATGTCTCGTTTCTCTCGTAATTATCTTCTACATGTAGCTACATATTACGTTTGCACTCTTTGAAGTCGGTTGGATTATGCAACATTAATAAATAATTACTCCATGTAACCCGTCGCTTTCATTACATTATGAAACTTATTGTCTATTAATGAGACGACTAACTAATGAGTAGAGCAGTCAGTTAAAAGAGTGAAACTGACGTTGGAACCCCCCCGTAAATCCCATTTTCATTTGTCTAACCAAATTAATCGGATTTCATTTCCATTTTGTTATTCAATCTTCAACACGTATGCACCTTCGCTGAGAGTGTTTTTTTCGTGGATAACACACAACACGCCATATTTTCATTCCATTTAAGTAGACGAACTGAGATGCAATCAGCATTCAGCACTTTTGGTTATGTGCACGTATGGCATAACATACAACCCATCAGTACGTTCTCGTCAGTCCATGTTCTCACAATTCCGGTGGAACGGTCTACACGCATGTTACGTTGTGCAGGTGGACATTTGGACAGTCAGATGTCAATAAACCGAAAGTTATGATACACGCCTTTAGTTGATGAAGCAATTTTGTTATGACTTACTTTGAATCGTAATGTTATATATACTGATATTCGAAGTTATGTAGTAACAACAAGTGGCGGGAACAAACTCGTTCATGAAAGCTACTTTATGCAAACATTTCACCCGTCTGTCCGTTTATACGATAACTCTTGAACGATACAGCGTTTTGGAGTTGTCTTTCGATGAGTACGAATATGAAGAAAATACACGAAAGTAATAGCCAATCCGACAATGAACCTAGAGTTACACAAGTGCGAACGATACTAGTGGATGGGTCAAAGGTCAAATGTTGAATTTAAGCAATTAATCTAGTATCGTTCAATCGTTGAATGATATCTACCTTTACTTTTTTATATCTGTTTAGTAGAGCTTTTATTCTGCTACCTGATTAGTCGATGTATGTGTGCACGTGTGTACATTTGTACCGTTTGTACCTTTATAGATATGAATGAGGTGTAGTAGTTTTGGTGGCGAAAATGTTCACGCGAGACGCGGATTGTGTGGAAATCAATAAAATTTGTTTTTGTTTTGTCGATTAAGGTCGTCATAAAATGAATTTGCCTCATTGCAGGACAACCCAGACCAACTCTGAAATGGTGGCTAAACGAAGAAATGATTGGGGGAGCCTGGGTGGAGCGAAATGACGGAGTTATTGTTAACACCTTAACTCATCCAAATCTTCAACGGAAAAATTTAGGTTCTAAATTTGTCTGTCAAGGTAAAACAGAAATATTAAATTATGGCTTCAAACTTATGATGGGGGGGTGAATTAATCAACAAAAATAAAAATGCGTAATTTGTTTTATTTAATTTTCAGCATCAAACACCAACCTTCAACCTCCAAAATCTGCCAGTGTTATTGTCAACCTAAACCGTAAGCTTTTTATTTATTGCTTATTATACAAATATGTATACATCCACATGTACTAACAATTGTAAGTGGTGAAAGTAACCTTGTAGAAGAATATTTTACTCAATAAGTATAACAAATCAAGTAAATGTCAAGTCGCCCCAACATGCTTGCACATGTATGTTATAAATAGTCTTGATAAGTAGTTATCATCAAAATACAGGAACGTATCATCTATTTTAAACCCAAAACAAACTTTAATCATTTCCTTGAATAAACACGCGGCATTATGATTTATCGAACTGTAATTCAAAACTCGATGTTCATATATATATATATTTACGTATTTGTAGGTATTTCCAATTGTGAAGAGGCTTTTGCAACCAAATCCTAACGCAGAGTGGTAATTGTGAGATTGAGTAATCACGATGAGCCTCTGAACCACAATATAACCTTTATTGCACGTATTTGTACAATGCATATACTTAAGTACGTAGGTTTCTACCGAATTTGGCTATTGTTTCCTCCACAATAGCACTCAAATTCAATTGATTTTGGATTTGCGTTACATGGAGAATCAACAATGAATGATTGAAATGCGTCGGAAGTTTGCAAATTATTAATTCAGATTTTGAATTATTATTAACTGAATAGTGGTGAGACACTGGCTAAAATTATCACAAAGGACACAGGCACTTGTGGAAGAGAAGAGATATGAATTGTTTCACGAAGGAGAATATCCCTGAGTGCTGTTGGCTGTATGCGTAGAGTTTTATAAATAGGAACAAGTAGACAATTTTGAACTGAAACCCAACTTTTTTCCCATTCGGAAAATGTATATTGCAAATTAATTTATTCAACGACTTTTCAATAAGCCAAAAATACTGCGAGACAGGGAGTGAGATTTGGGCAGGAAAAAATGAAATAATTTAATTTCGGAGTTCAACCTGTTAACAAGAACCTATTAGCAAGAACACTGCTTTTAACGGGATATGCATGCAACTCCGTGTAAGAACTAATCCAAGGGCAACTGTTTTCAAACTGTTTTCACGTACTTACGACTTTTTGGTGTACGCATCTTGTGAGTTGTGATGCTACAATTATCTAAGAGTCTTGGAAAGACTTTCAGAATGCTTATTTTGGTGTGACGACCGTTGGATGAAATTGTTAAGAATGGATGGTTATTATGTAATATGACAGGCAGATACATAGCTCAGAAATAAGAAAGTCTCGACGAGTTAAGCTAAAAATGTTTGCGTCATTACTTCAAGCACCACTAAATACTAATCATATATAATTATTCGAATGTTGAATTAACTTATATTGGATTAATTAATCGATTAAAAACGTATCCTTAAATACTAATTGTACACTTTAAATTTCAGTACGTCCGCTATCCGTGTCGATCTTACAACGACATAGTCGACTCTCTACCCACACTCATTACGAAATTATATGCGAATCTTCTGGGTCCCGCCCTCCTCCAAATATTCTTTGGTTCTTGCAAGGTCAAGAACTGAAGGGGGTTACAACAGAGGTATGTATATATCTTCACTTGTATTAGTGATAGCTAAATTAGTGAACTGCAGCTAAAAGTCCATAAAGTTCGTGGAACAACAACAAATAAAGACATTTATGAATAAGAAGTTAGTAGAAATACCAAACTTATCAAAACATTTAGACCCTTAAACGTTCATACAGGCATTACAATTTGCATATGCTAATACATGTATTATGTAACGAAATTGGTTAAAGAATGGAGTGAGACCCAAGTCTCGAGAGATTCTCAATCAAACCCGTCACTGTGAGCTTATTGGATTATTCTCAGGAGCCAAACTCGTTAATATCAATTGTTGTTCGTTATTGATTTCGAAATCAATTTAAACGGATTACATCACAAGGAGTATTTATAATCCTTTCAAATTACAAATTCCTGTTTTTGTGCACAGCCCGATTCTGATGACCTTAATATCACACGAAGTATTCTGAGCTTTACCCCCGCCGTGGAGGATGACGGCAAGATTTTGACGTGCCGCTCCGAAAACCACTGGATACCCGGAAGTGCGATAGAAGACCGATGGAGACTAAACGTTCAGTGTAAGCTCAACTTTGCATCGTAGTTTCTCAATGCATATTTAATATACATGTGTATGCAATTATTGCACGAGAAATAAGTATCCACGAAATGGGGTCAGTGAGATCTAACCAAGAAGACGAGCGAGTAAAGGCAGTTGACATGATCATTTATGTGTTTGCGTTTTTGGAACATTTGAATTTTGTCCTAGAACATATGCATTCTCAGACAATCCAAGTACCAAGTTTTCATGTGCACATATTCGTTGTAAACTATGTACACACATAGTTTTTGCTTACTTTACATTTCATGCGAAACATTTTACCAAATAAATGACATTCTGCATCACATCAAGTTTACAATTTATTTACAAATATGATACAACGCTGTATGTAATTCCGGGTTTAGTTATAGCAGTAATAGGATTTAAGTTGGCTTGAGAGAAAAGTCCACTTTAAACAAGTGCACTCAAACGCTTTCCAGGTAATCTGACAAGCTGAACTAAATTTATGTCTCAATTTTTCCATCCAGCCATGGACATGCAAAATGCTTTTGGAAGGGATAAAGTAAAAGAGCCGTTGGCTTTGAGATAGGTTGGCAGACAGTAAAAAATGAGTTTCGTAGACATTTTTCTACCAAAATACTTTCGCCCCAACACAAGAACAATATGGACGAGGTGCACTCACAGCAACCACCTCCGTGTCTCTCGAGCACACTCCGATGTATAGGTTACATTATCTCATTCAAAGTTATGACTTGGGATGTCGTGCATATTTTATATCTAGTTTATTAGCAGGTTGATCTTGTCGAAAAATGAGTACAAAGCGTAATTTATACTATGTACACACACATTTACCTTGCAATTTATTTGACCCCAAAAATTGTATAATTAGCAGCATGGATAAAGTTAAACTGTGAGCATTTTGGGTTAATTTATCGATTTCTCTATTCTCCAGATGCACCGAAGGTTACCTTGTCACTTGGAGCGAATATGGTGGCCGACGAAGTTAAAGAATTTGACGATTGCTACTTTGAATGTTCGGTGAAAAGCAACCCATCGACTGTAAAGCTTGCGTGGTATCACAATGTAAGTTCTTTCACTTTTGACTGTACTAAAATGAGGTGGTCATAAAAATAACATACTTTTCATGTCTTAAAATCTTATTCGACTATGTCTGCCAGACATCATCAATAATTTTCAATTTTTTAAAGTGAATCATCAGCTTTTAAATAACGAAGGCAATATAAAACAAATATTTGCAGGCAATCTGCAAATGAATAAATTGAGACAAGAGGTCACTTATAAATTTATTCTACTTTATGAATATTCAGCAAGTTGATATAAAGTAAAAGCACACAAGTATGTATGCAAGTATACGTACATATGCATCCACTACCCGTACAAACGTGCCTCGAATGATGCTCAATTTGATGCTCGCAAGTTAAATAATATGAAAAGTGTTATTGACAACTTTGTTAGATAACATAACGGCTTGATTTTGAAACAAATCTATTGATTTGCTGAGTTGAAATCGGGTTATTTTAATGACAAGAGCAAATAATTTGCCGTGAAAACCGTGAAAATCCAATTTTAATGTAAATATATTTATAATTTTTTAATAATTAATAATAATAATAATAATAATAATAATTTTTTAAGGTATGTATATTCCACTGACCATGCTGAATACGATTTGATTTATTTATTGAGTCAATTCAACAACATTGGAAACGCTATTTATTTATAAAGATAAAATACGAAACCAATTGTTTATGAATGAATGCCGGGTATTCTAACCATAAGTTTTTTTTTTTGTACTGAAGTGCTTACGTTTTCGCTCCGTGATTGACGTTGCGACAATTTGATGCAATTGTCAAATTAAAATCAAACTGTTTCGAGAGAAATGTCGCGTTATATATATCATTGTTCTGCGAAGGGCGTCAACCCCGTAATCCTGCCTTTTCAAAGTTCTACCAAATTGATTAAATTTTATGAACTGCTTTCTACCTCTTTTTCTCTCTCAAAGCAGTTTTGCTTTGTTCATTTTGTTCCATCCTCCTGTGAATGTCCTCGCCCTGTTAACTGTCTGTGTTGTGTAGGTGTCAATAAAGGCAAGATAAACACAAATACTCAATTTGTTTGAAACTGGATTTGCAGAATGTCAAGTTTTCTAGAATAAAGTCGTACATTTCTATTTCAACGTAATCCAATAATGAAGGCTCGATTCGGAAAAGTTCACAAATAAATTGATTTACCCAATTTCACTTGTTCTTTTTTTTCAGGGTCGTGAACTTCGACACAACGCCACTCAGAGAGTTATCATGAGTAATACTCGACTAGTTTTACAGAAAATAAGTCGGCATACTGCTGGGTAAGAAATAAACAGCTAAAATCGTTAATAACGTTGTTACAACTTTTCTTTTAGTAATTAGCCATTGTTTTATATCACTAGCAATTACCAATGCTCTGGACAAAATTCGGAAGGGACCACTCTCAGCAATTCAGTTCTTCTTCGAGTAAAATGTAAGTTTGTCAGTAGGTTTTCCTGCGTTTTATGTGTGCATACTTACAACATTGTCGAACTTTCCACGAAGGAATAACTCTGGTTGAAAGGCTTAGTAACCTCATACGTTTGTAAAACCGAATCTGTTTGAAGTTGAGACAAAATATTATGCTAAAATTTTACAAATGCTTTAATTAAAAACTTTTTTCCTAACAACATTACAAAAATGTGTGCTCACAAAGGAGCAAAAATGCTGGCTTGTGTGTGGGAGTACATGCAGTACTTATATGTACATTCAGTAGCTATTAATATCTCCGAGTTCGCATTTCCTTATAACGTTTTTTTTAATTATTGCAAACTAGTCATACTTTATCTTCACGCAGTTGTTAACCTATTGATGTATCCTCCAACTCAAAAATTCGTAATTTAAAGCAATTTTTTTCATTTAAGAATTTCAAAAATCTAAAGAAATGCCAAAAACTCTGACGCACCACACAGATCAACTGTACAATGTACGATACGATGTACACTACGCGAGCAAAAATGTGCTCGAGTCTCGTCACTAACAATGCTAATTTGCAAAAATGAATGGGTGCTTTCTCCAAATTTTTCAGATGTGCCAACATGCAAACATAACACAGAGTCACTTGTGGGAGCCATGAAGCAGGAAACAATACAAGTTATATGTGAAATGGCTTCAGATCCACCACATGTCCAGGTAATATTAAACATTATAACGTGAGCATTCATGATTTGCATCCTTGGCTACATATTTTCTTATGTAGCCATATTTTCAGTATGTTCGTAAAAATTATTGGATACAAATTACTAAATATAGTACAGTAAGTTAACACTTTTCAATTTTATCGTATTCAGTTCAGTTGGACGTTTAACAATTCTGGGAGCGAAGTTATCCATGTCCCGCAGTATCATTATACGTCGTCCGGAACTACTAGCACTCTCACTTACACCCCCGTCACTGAAATGGATTATGGTAAGCATAAGTGGATTCTATAGCTGAAACTTATTTACCTGGCGTCAAGAATAATTCAAATTGATGCATTTGGAAGGGCAATTTTGAGACATTAACGCAAGCTTCGAACTTGTTTGTGAGATTGTGCTGTGAAATGTAAAATGATTAGCAGGCTTAACCGTATGCCAAAAATTATGGGATTTTTGACGTTGGTTTACTGTTACTATCCAATATAATCCAATACAAATTTTGTGATTTTACATACTAGATAAGTATGTGCATACATAAACTGTAATTTCAGCAACGCAGGTTTTTATTTGAAATTTAATCGCTCAGAATATCATGCAAAATATGAATCAATTTAGGAACCATGATGTGCTGGGGTTCAAACTCTGTGGGAAAAGGAGTGGCTGGACCTTGCTACTTTCAGGTGAGAATTTCTCCACTTTCACTGCAGTCTAAAAAATGCAGCCGTTACCCCCCGATGACTGATCTTTCGTGCAGTATCAGAAATTTAGTGCAGCAGCTTGCATTTTATTTATCTACTTAATTGCATCTCTATGCAAACTGACGTTTACAATAGTAGTAATCATTCATCATTCATTTCCAGATTGTATCTGCTGGACGACCCTTCCCTCCCAAAAACTGTTCTATTTTTAATAAAACTGAAGACTCCCTAAGTATAGCGTGCACGGAAGGTAATTATCTTAATTCTACTATTCCAATTAATTCCTAATTATCATTCTAATACAGAGAAAGTAAAGTAAAGTAAAGTACAGTAGTTGGTAAAGTACAGTATGGCTTAATCCATCCGTACTTTATTAGAATCAAGGTTAATGGGTGACACTGGTATGTCCCAAAATGTGTATAATGTTGGAGGGAAAGTGAGGAGATTTCAGTATCAAAGTCGCCTTCGTCAAGTTCTGAGAGTGTTATGAGAATGACCATAGTGTCGTCAAGAGCATAATATTTTTTTCATCGCCCAAGAATAAATATGACAAATGCGGGTGTTAGAAAATGAATGAGTCATCAAATTGTGCATTTCTTTCCCACGAAATATGAGATCTTGTCATCACTAAATGTGCATGGAATTTTTTCAGGATTCAATGGTGGCCTTCCACAACACTTCAATCTCGAGGTCATAGATCTGGTTTCCAAAAAGATCAAGCTCAACTCTTCGTATAAGGTAATATTTGAGTTGGGATTTCATAATCTATGTCAAGGGATTTGTTTGGCAAGGATGTTGCGAAATGTGCTGCAATTTAAAATGGCAATGTGTCAAAGGAAACATGTGAACTGTCAGATGGACAAAGAATAAAGGTTGAGAATTTTTGCAATCTCTACAACTTTGAGTCAACTAAGCAAGTCTCGTCTCATTCGTGTATCCGCGTTGTCTACACGCGTGTTTGCAGTTGTGATGTGAAATCGTAGAACGAACGAAATGGACCAGTGCAACTTACGATTATTGATGTTTGTTATTTTTTACAGATGCCATTGTTTTCCGTGGACGGGATGGAGCCTGGAGTAGTGTTTCGGTTTATAATATACTCTGTCAATGACAAGGGTAGATCTGAGCCCTTCATCTTAGGTGGGTTTTTGATATATTTTAGATATATCTTGGATGCATTTTGTATTTTATTTTATTCTAGATGGGATTACGTTTCGCGGATATTCTAAACTAACTGGTATGTGCGAAAATTCTACACTTCCATTTCGATTCGAGACGTGAATTGACTAGCAAGAAGCATGAGACATAAAGTGGGTGACTCGATCTTTCCGAGTCACTTTCGCATTCTTTCTCACTCTTCTCCAATATTACGCAATCTCTTCCCATTCCACTTTAGTCCATGACTCTGCTCAATTTTATTGGAAATGAATGAAAATGAAGTTTTTGTTGCTGTGACACCCTTCCCCCTTGCCTTCTTGGGCTGTAAGATGAAATTCCGATCGGGTGACGAAGTGCCACTGGCTGGTTTCCTTGAGAATACTCCTTTTCCTCACATTTCCTTCATTCTTTCAGGTCCCACGGCAGATGCAGCAGAGATTAACCCCCTCTTCGCAGTTCTAGTCGGCTGTACGTTAGTCCTAGTAGTTGTACTCTCAGTGGCCATAATCGCTGTGTGGAAGCGATCCAGGAGGAAGCCCCCAATCGCAAAAGCGTACAAGAGGGAAAATGGCAACGGGAATGGAGATGCCAATTTTGAGACTGATGATTCCGCCCTGACCAAAATCGAAAATGGTCTTGACGAAATTGGCAACCCGGATGTCGTCCCCAACAAGAACGGAAAAGGTGAGGGACTTGATTCGTTTCTTTATTTCCTAGTTAATTCTCGAAAGTCTTTAAAAATCAAACACTATTCTAAAATAAAAATAAGCTAATTGTGTAACATCTCATATATGTACATAAATATTTCCAAAGTGCGTAACCTTAACTTCCACCCACACACGTGTTTGATAAAAGTGCAGCAAGTGAGATGGTATCGCATCGTTTTTAGTAGAATAAAACTGAAAGTGGGAGAAAGTTTCATTTGGCTAATAGTCAGCATCTGGGAACAATTGGAAATAACGACGAGCTAAGAAAGGCTACTACTGCTGCTGCCCGTGCTATTTGCTAATGTCTAGCAGCCAATTCTGGATGGTACAAAAGGGTCCAATGTCTTGTTTCAGAGGAAAATTCGATTCAATGAAAGTCGAAAGTGAAAGTGAACCCAAGTTAAGTAAGTTGGCCAACCTTGTCGGAACTAATGTCACACGATGACTACCAACCAAGCAAGCAAGCAAGGATGAGGTAACGAGCAAATGCCACTTCCACACGCTCTCCACAGCAATATACCTACATCACAGTCAACAGTGTCTGTATAAAAGCTGGAAATGTGCAACATTCGATTCGATTAAATGAGATGGAGCCAGAAGACGACGAGGACCAAGAACCAAGAATGCGATACAATGTCAAGAGACTAAATTCCGTCAAGAATACACTAAATTTACTATAGTCTTACTTTTACCTTTCACTCCGTGCTACTGAATGCGAGTCTGTGTACCTACTGGACTAAAGATAGAGTCAGCGTGCTGGCTTTTTTCCTTCCGTATCGTAGCACTCCCTTTATACAGAGTTTAATAAGGCCCACAATATGGAATATACGAAGGGAACCATATCGAGAAGAACTAAGGAATGCGATGGCTTGCCATTTTCTTTCGAATCCATGCCGTCTTGTCTTGAAACTTGACTTGGAACTCGACTGGACCCGATTTTTTGTGTTCTTTCAACCCTTTGTTCTAGCATTTTTTTCAATTAATTTGGCATCACTTCTTCATGGCCCATTTCAAACAAGGAGAATAGATACAGTATTGAACTAATTTACAGACAATGATATTTTAGTAACTCAACAATTCTATATTTAAATTCTTGTTATTTCTGCATTTGAACTTTAGCTAAACTTATCCTAAAAGTAGTTCTCATGTGCATCTGTTTCTGAATTTAAGGAGAGTTAACTACTATGCAAATATGAATACTATGCGTAAGTATACATGTGCAGCCCATGTTATTCATATACCGGCGACCCTTTACATCTATGTCAACGCCCTCAATTGTTAATTCCAAAATAATTTACAATTTCAAAAACTTGGCAATTCTTAAACATCAACGACCTCGAAGTGGTGTGGTGTGGAGTTGTAAAGCAATAATTTTACCCTTAAATACGATTCCATTATGACTTAACTATATAAGCTTAACTAAATATGACTAAATTTGGTGCTGCTGCCGAGGTGGGTGGCTGGGGAGTAAAAGGAACGGGTCCAACAAAGATTTTTGGTGAAATGTTTTCCATTGTGGTTCCAGTCAAAGCAGTTTAGGGAACCCCGAGCATAGTCCAACTTTAAACTTGTCTGTATTGTGTTTTGTTAATGTTAGACTCGTGCCCCTCCAATCTCTCTCCAATTAGAGCCAAGTCTGAGAGAGTAAGAAAGGAGAAGGTCGTTAATTACTCGTCTACCCTGCACAAGATGAAACTTACACTAGAAAATCCTGCACTGGTGTTTGTTGTGTTTGTGGTAACAAAGCTATGTTTACATATTTCTTGCAGACCGTGGCATCCGAGGTTTCATAAGGATTCACAAAACTCCTCCGGCCAGAAGAAGAAAAAAGTTGGATTTGGAAGTAAAAAACAATGGGGAAACCGTTGCGCTGACTTCTTTGGTTGAAACACCGGTAATTAATTGCTATCTCATTTTCCCATCTCTTCTCCCTCCCTACTCAACCTGCCTGCCTACCTAGCCCCGTCCCAGTCGAATCATATTTTCAATTTTCCACTTTTAATGAGCTCAAATATTCATGATAATGAGGAGACTCGCTTTGGATCATGGGTTTCGTCTCACCCCTTGATTTCTTCTAATTTGTGATGAATATTGACGCCTGAAAAAATACGATCAATAAATTTCACCCAACTCACAAGCATAAATTATCACGCTGTTAATAATTTGGTACATTTGATACGAACGATTACGAAACGATTTCTGGAAGAGGAAAATTTTAAAATTGACTGAACATACATATGCATGCAACGTAAGAGATGATCACTATTTAAACCCAGTGTCCTTGCTAGCGCATTATGTACAAGACAAACTTTCCAGAATTTTTGAGCTTGGTAATAGAAAAAAATATTTCAATTATCTTTTAATTAAACGATCTTGTAGAAAGTAAGTAAAGTCTTGTTAAGCAAACGGAGTGAAAAGTTCTGCAGAGTTGACATGACAGGAAAGAAATCTTTCCGTGGAAAGAAAGATAGAGGATCCTGCAGCAATGGTGGGGGGACAAGGAAAGTAATGAAAAATTAAATTTTGATTACAAAGTTGATAACAGTGTCTCTCGAAATCTTGCAACGTTTGCCGCTATGAACTAACCAACCAACCAACCTTCTTCTGTGGCAAGAAAGAAAGGGAGAAAGAGAACCAGACTCGGTATCATATCACGTTAAACCACACCACCAACCGACACGGCCGTGAAATGAAAGGAAGGGAAGCAGACCATTAGATTATTAATGAACGAGGTTGAGTGAGAGCAAGTACATAAGTAAGAGATGCCGGTGGATGGTCTGGAGAATGAATTCCTTCTCACTTGCTTTTGGCGTGTCTCAAGCCTTGCAACAGTCATAACGCATAATGTGAAGGTTGGTTGGGTATCAATATAATTTTAGATGTGGGAATGAGAACCCGAAAACAAAGGGTGAGCAAGTGTTGTTCTAAAGCGTCTTCCTTCCAGACCAGGACGTAATGGTTGATGGTTCTAGTCTGTGAGAATCTTTTGAATTTTGAATCATGTGTCGTGTCTTCGAAGATGCATCTTTCAAGGCTGTTAATTTTGTCCGTGATAAAATGTTTCAAGGCTAGAGTTTCATTGTGAGAATAACTGGAGGAAAATTAAAAGATTAGTCGACCCAAGTTCAAGACAGAATCGGATTTGTTTTATGCAATTCGCTTGAGCACTGTGAACATTGAACTATCGAGATACAATAGATTATAAACACGATAAGAACTTGTCAGCCTGTGTAGAATTATGTTGTTGTGGTTGGCTGCCATTTTCTACATGCAAGCACCTGGAATTAAAGACAAAATCGGTGAAAATACGAGATCTGAACCACTACGAGTAGCACATAAGGCGTATAATCCTTTCTAACAGGGGCAAAATGCATTCGAGAAAGAGAGTGCACATCTATCTGTATTGTGCGAAAGCTATAAACCACGTATCCCAATCCATCTATACGAAATTTTGTGACAAGATAAATCTTTGAAAGGTGCTTGGGAGGGCAGTAAACAAAGCCATTATTTTTGCACCGATTGGAACGACCATATTGTCAATTCTTGTACGTCTCCATTACATACATTTTTTTCCTTTATATTTCAGGATGGAGTTCATAGGAACCATAATCATAAATCATCTTTATTGACGTCTTCGAATCACTCTTCTGCTACTCCACGGGAAAGTCGAATATGATCTTACCTCAATCTGATATTCCACTCCCGGCCCAACGGGTAAACTAATATTTATAATAGGATAAGTAATTCGTGCTCGCCAATTCTGTTCTGAGATTCAAAGATTTATTTCTGTACTTAAACAACTTACTACCACGTGTGAATAGATGTTGTTATGTATGCAAATGTACAAATAATGTAAATTCGTATGAGAAGTGTGTGAATTTGTATACCGTCGTAGGAGGATTCTCCGATCGGTCGTGAGTGTCATGGGCATTGGAAAATTGCGATTTCCAATCATATAACTAAATCAAATCATATCTTACGAAAAATTTTACTCGTGCATTAAAAAAGGAATCCAGGACATTTATTCAAACTATATACGAAACAGTTACCTCCTCCTCCTCACGTTCCCCATAGATTGACAAAAATATTACTTTTCCACTTTTACAATCCAGCTCCCAGACCCATGTCGAACTTTACGAGATCATCATAATCTTGTATTATCATTAATATTACTATTGTTGCGTGATCTACCTCTCCAGTGATTTAACTAAATATTACTTAGTTATAAATACTGTCAACCACAGTCGCTGTTTACTCATACAAATATTGTTGTTCAATAAAAGGTTCTAAAACTTAAACCATGTTCAAATTAAGATGCATGCGAGTTTTTAATTGATCTAACATCTTCATTAATGGCCTTATTGAATCTTCCGTATTCTACATTCGCCTCTATTTTCACTGGAAAGATTAATGTCAGATAACGGATATAATTAATTTTGGGGTAAGTCAAGAAAGCCATAATTTGTTCCCTGTCACTCCTGACAGCACGTGAAGGGTTATTACTGACCATCATGGATTACGTGGATTACAGCTAACACTCGTACAAATTAATTTGTGGATAAATAATAAAAGAGGTAAGAGCATAAGTGCGTGTACTAAGCGGCGATTTTGGAAACCCAAATTCCAAGTTAGTTCACAAATGACCTATGTACCTTGCTCCAGACCAGGACAGGAAACATTCCTGCATATGCCAACATAACTTTTGAGAAGTCAGAACGAAATAAACTGACTGCGGAGCGTAGCGTACAGAATAATATTTGCAGTCCCATTGATGTCTTACTCTAATTAGTCACGTACAATAGTGGCTGTATTTGGATGAGCTCATTCATTAGCACGGAGCAGATCTCTGGAATGGCGGATTTAATTATTTCATTTTACGGCCGTTGATTCAGCCTCATCCGCTATACTCCATGGGCTATAGACTCCTCCTACATATGCCGGACAGTCTCCAGACCCCTGATGTGGTGTAACACGCACAATTTGGATGAAAAATTTATACGGCTTGAAGAATGGATCTCTAGTGTACCACTGTTCGTAAAAAATCAAGCATTTTATTTGCAATAAAAACTAGTTGAACCTTTACAACTTATGATTAATTCAGCCATATTCCTCTGCATTCCCTTTTATTCGTCTCTCTTTCTCTCTCTATCTCGAGAGAGTTTTGACTCTTACCTTTTCTTCTCAAACACAAAGGAAAGGTGGGCTCAAGTTTGATTTTTATATCGTAATATCCTCGTGTAATTACTGGTGAAAAGGAGCGTTTTCTAAAAAGCCAACTCCTCTTCCCTTGGGCTCCTGAGGACTCAAATTACACGTGGAGATGTAAGTTAACAAGAAGTTATCCGCAATTATTGGCCCCAACGGACGACAATGAGCAATTTCTGAAGAACATAAATAATTGGGATGAGGGCATTGTGTGTTCTTGTATTGAACACAAACACACACCAGCCAAGGAGCAGTTAGTTGATATGATATCCGCGCATTGGTCGAAACGAACCTTATCCAAGTAACGTTCAAGCAGATAATACTAATATCCCACCCACCGACCGTGCACCAGCACATTGAAACCTCAACATTATTGCGAGAAAGAGGCAGCAGCAGCAGCAGCAACATTATTATTGCCATTGTCCCGAATAGATTTACCCAGCGACCCAGCCGACAGACCAAAAGGAACCAACTTGAAGAATCATTTCTCGTTGTTCGTGGAGATGACTAGATTGGATTGAATCGGAAGCCCGTGCATTAGAACGTGCTCCCTTTGTTTCAAACGGGGAGAAAGCGTGTGTGTGCCGTGCATTTGGGATGGGAGAGAGGAGCAGAAGAGGCATCTTTATGTGATGGAATGGATGAAGCAGCTCATCTTTCTGTTATGGGATGTTGGATGTATTACGAGATTATTGTGCTTCATATGTAGTACGGCGGCCGAGTTGGTGGATTGGCTTCACCGTTTTCAGATCATTTCATTCATATCATATCATGGAAAATGATATTGGAAAGAAGGAAAAAAGGAAAAATTTATCGATTCTGGCTTAAGCTAAGTCAATTCTTTCACACTGTGGACGTCTTTATGACTACTTCTCTTCCTGTAATATCAGCCTCGTGGATGGGAGTAGGAATATAATACGAATACTTGTTTTCCTTTCAACTCCATTTACTTAATCCTATTGGGAACCAGAGGGTGAGAAAGGAGGCAAGAAAGTATATTTTATCTATTATGTATCAAAGCACATCATGAAGTATTTATGTTTTGTTTTCTGTCATAAATTTTTTTGGATTTTTCGCTCCACTCGCTGCTCACAGACTTTTGGGAAAAATTCATCATTAGCTGGAACTGAAAGGACATCCTCCAAGGGGAACTTTCTCCACACGATTTTGATCCCCACAATTTTACTCAAAGTTTGTACGAGCAATACAACTTTTGCATATAAATTGCTCAAATTTGTAGCCAGAAAGAGGGACGGCCAAATTTAAATGGGTCGTTCAATAAATTCCATTTGGATGGCAAAACAATCGGTGATTTTGAGTATCGAGGGCTTACTTCGTATATAAGTGGAATATTTTCCCATTCCAAATATTTTACCCCAGATTATGGATAGATGTTCATGTTTTAAATTGGGATCAAAGGTTCCCATTCCACAGATTTGTTCTGTTCTTGTTTACTTCTACCACCTGTACCATGAAAAGCGCAAGTACAGAAATGTACATACAAAACAATTTATGCATAGGTTACATATTTAATTCCAAAACAAAATATTAAGGATTTTCCCTCATGCACTTTCTAGTTTCGCAGAAATGCGGGCCAGCTCTACCTCTCTCAGAGAGCGAAGAAATCTGGCATTTTCTTACCGCGGCATGGTCGTGAGAAAGATTATTAATTTTCATTTAATGAACTCAAAATACTGTAGAAGCACGCACCTACCGCCCATAGTTTCCAGCTGTTACTGCCTGATTTATAACTCTCGTGCCTTCACAGAAATGCACCACCAGATTCGGCCCATGCTTTCTCTCCCAAATTTAGGGCTGGGCCTGCTTTACTCTGAGCACTATGAATGCTGTTAATGCTGCTTGCAGCTTATGTCACATTTCAGTTTTTCTTTGCTTTCAACTTTTTAACATTTTTGGAAAGTCCACACGACTCGCAAAAAATTACCTTGAGAGTGCATTCATTTGGTCACAAATATTTTATAGCTTCTACAATATGTACCATACAACAACAATCTGCATGGATAAATAAATAAAATGTACATTTCAATGCAAGCTTTTTGATAGTCGTCCAGGAGCAGCAAACAACTAACATCAGGGGTATTGACAAAAATGTTACCAAACAGCATGCCTTGCGTAACTCTAAGTAGCTAATGCTATATCAAAGCATAACCTTCTCCAAATATTTCCCATGATGTAATAGGCGAACTTCAAAAAGTAAATATAAAGAGGACCTCGTTCTTCAAATACCTCTGATATGCATATTTCGTTAAATTATAAAGTTGGCTGTTGACTGTTGAGTTATTAAGACTTTATGCATGCAGAAGAGACTCTCACCCCAAACCAAATATACTCCCAAATCGAACAAAGTCGTGTTTTGTAATCAAATAACTCTGGCTTCCGAAATTCCCTAATTCCCTTCTTTCTCTTCTGCGCAGCCAGTTAGTGTGTAATGAAATTGAGAATTTAGACTCATTCCACATAAACAAAGATTTTAAACAAAGTTTCTGGCCCCACACGTGACGCGAATAAGAGATGAGATCGGAGAGTGAAATGGTCACAGGAGGTAATTCAACAATGCTAAATTCCAAATCCGAAGAATACCGTCTTGCACCTCATAACAATAATGCTAATCCCCCATATAATAATAAAGCGAGAAATGAGAAGGGAGGAGAAAGTGGCGGAATATGAGCCAGCAAGCAGTGGCCACCCGAGCAGGAACTATAGGAAGGTCATCACCTCCTCTCCTCCTGCTCTCGGACATTTCGCCATTCGTTCAACTTGGATCGTGCTAGTGTTTCAGCATCTACGTAATAAGGCCCGGAGAGCGAAGGGAAAGTGAAGTAGGGTAATTTTATTCAATGCACAAGAGTCCCATTGCACGTTCCTCATTTCGAAAAAAAAACATTCGTAGGTTGGTCATTGGATGAAAATGGAATGGAGCTGTGAGTGCGAGTTTAAAATGAAATGATTATCTGTGAGGAATTCCAGCGCAATCTGTGAGCCGTGTTGTTAAGAACTAATCTGATGCTTTCGCTTGCCAGATAAAAATTCAATCCTCATACAACATCTCATCCGCACCGTCAGAGGCAAGCAAGGCAGCGACAGGGAGTGAGTAGTCGGCACTTTCACTCAATGTCAACCGTTACAGAGATTGTATCGCGACAGAAACTAAATAGTGGATGTGTAGTCGTCGTAGTGGTCCTCATACAAATTCAGGCATTAGCCACTGTTTACCCTGTTTTTTGTTCCTGGATGGTGAAAAATTATCCTGATATGCGACAACAATGGGAGGATTATTCTTCCTGTAGTTTTTTTTTGTTCAAAACCTGGGCCAAACTAAACAATAACACGAGAATGTGGAGGAGACGTGAAATTTATACGGAATCAGACAACGGAGAGTGAAAAGGAATCTCCAGAGCTTGTAGGGTTGAAAAGAGTCAAGTATGAAGGATTCAGATCAGGCAGGTGAATGAAGTAAGTGTGTCGCAGTCTACATAACGGTGGTGGTGGCATCATCATCTCTTCCTCCGCAGCTCGGCAAAACAATAAAATTCAGTTCAACGGGACGCATGCTGTGTTGGCCACCTATTTCGTACGTACCTTTGCTGCTCTGTGTAATTGCAATGCTTTTCTGTTGTTACGCTCTTCTTGGTTCCATCCATTTAAACATACATACGTCATTCTTTACTTTTGTGGCACGTCGTCGTGTCCCACATTTTCCTTTGAACAAAGACTTTCCTTTGTCAAATAAATATTTTCATTTCGCTCCAGCACTTCATCATTCCCCACTAACTCGAACGGATAGCAGACGTTGGGCCAAGTAAGTAATGTGTGGAGTCGGGGAAAGTAAACTGCTGGGCTTTACGCACTCTTCGTACCCTGGTCGCTCTGTGTTTCCTCTCTCTCTCGAAGATCCATTACCAGTTTATGGCACCCGTTTTAATGTTTTCCACGCAGAGCTATGAACTAAGTATTTTATATGATGCGATATCGTATCTGTGCCGACATGGCGTGGACTGACTTTAACTTCTTCTCTGGCTTTCTCCTTCCGCGTGCGTGCATTTTTTTGTTGCACGCTCACACTTTCACTTCCTAAAAGTACGATGGAACATCATTACGGTTGAATAAGTATAATATTTGACAAATTAAGTTGTTCTTGTAATTAAGGGAAACATATTTAATGTTGTTTCAATTTAATTCAAACTTTACATCATTGTAAAAATTGCAACAATTAACAAAAATGTACATTGGCATTAATATTCTCTCTCAGTAGAGTATCAACAGTGAGTATTTCTATTATTTTTTGTACATTGTATACTTAACACGTTACGCTATTATTTATTAACAATAGTGATTTTTGAATTATATTGATTAGAATAAAATTTGTATGCAAAAACAGCTCAATAACAAGCTCAAGTCATACGCATTGGGATACACTATTTATAAAATGAAAATTTCTGGAATTTTGCAGACGTAGATACAATTACATCATAAAGAAATGATAGAAAACTTAATTTGGAATCTTGCCTTGAAATCTTATGCAGATATGCACATTAAGTCATCTACATGCAAAATGCAAATATTCGCTTGACGTAGTATAAATATGTGGGTTTCGTGATGTACTAGTCACTTAACTTTTTGTAACAAGATTGACGGCAACAGGAGTTTTATTCTTACTTTCTAAATAGTTCATGGCGCGGATGAAGATATGAGTCACCACATCTGTATGAACATATGTATGCATTTGTAAGGCAGTCATGCACGAGGAGACAATTCCTTTTTGTTTTCTCACTATTTTCTATTTCCCCTCCAATATCAATTTGGCATAAAATAAACAAGTTAGTTTACTTTCCATAGATGTGCATACACCGGATTTACGGCATCTTTCGAGCTTTCTCCTCGGGTTCTATGAATACGACGAGGCTGGAAACAGGAGACATCAAGTACATTATCCCATGCCCATCAGACAAGCAATAAAATGCCAAGAATTTGGAGATCCTTTTATTTCTTAAAAAATGAAACAGTTCTTGCCCTTCAGCCTTGTCGTCTATAGTTTTTCTTAAAGGTAATTTTTATTTTACGACAGGCCACAAGGAGACAAGCACACTTTGTCTCCATTGCTGTCAATACACCCACACCCCCACAACTCTTCGCCCACCATATACCTTCCATACGCCTGTAGCCCATCAGCAGGACCAAACGACTGCCATATACATACGGAAGACATCCTACACTACTCGTATCAACCATAAAACAACGGTTAAATTACATGTTTCTTCTCAGTCCCCATCATGATCATGTGAGCCCACTCTCCTTCTCCAATCTCCAATCCTTCCCTTGTACAAAAACCAATGCAAAAGTATGAAAAAGGAAAAAAAACTTCATTTAAAACAACGACAGGAACTCGCGTAGATTCACCCGCACACTTATCCTTAGTTCGGCCTATTAAGGTGTCTCCACAAGTATAGCCGATAAAGAACCCAAAAAGTAAGAGTTCACCGTGTACCTGTTTTCAAGAAAATGTTGATTTTCCATTTGTAGAGATGGTAACACATTTTCGTTGAAAGGAAGGAGGAGGGTTTTCCTGAGGTTTAGAATGCGTTGTGGCGTCGGACAACCTCCTCATCTTCATCTTCCTCAATACTTCCGTATCCGTGACTTGTACTCGCCGTCGTTGAAATAATGGATGTCGGCGGAGGTGGAAAGTTATTCTGGTTAGAAATTACAGTAAAAGTCGTAGCTTCCGAGGTAAGGTCGTAGTACGAGGCACCATCAACACTGCTACAACCATCATCCTTGAGTGCGTAAAAATTATTCAAACTCAAGTCCTTGCCAATTGTACATATTGGGTGCTCTTCAGCCTCATGGCTGTGGAGAAAACTGGTGGATGCACATTTTTCAATGGCGGATGATCTAACTGATAGTGAGTGGAGTGGGGTGGGTGGTGGGTTTTTCGCAGAGAAAGTGGTGGTGGGGGAGGAGGAGGAGGAGGAAGGAGAGGAATAAGGTGGCCCATGCTCTGCTTGTTCTTGTTTTTTGTTGGTCCTTATGATACGCCGCAGTTGTCTTCTCCTTTTTGCAAGCATGAGAGCTAAGAGGGAGAGGCCGACAATAAATATCAATAATACCGTCAGGGTAATGCCGGATGTCATTGGCAATTTGGTAGGGACTAGAATTCCACTTTCTCTCGGCTGGTCCAGCATCGGCTTCACATCGCGTCCTGTTTGGAAAGTCCTTGTCAAGCTCTCGTTTCCTCTCCTATCACCCTCCGCTTCATCTTGATTTGCCTCCGTCCCTTCGAAAAAAAGAGGAAAAATGGAAGATGAACAGCCGATCAAACGCAATCTATGTCCCGCTTTTTTGTAATTTAGAGAATTTAAGGTACTGCCGATCTGTTCGTTCGCTTTACGTTTTACAACATAAAATATGGGACAAGTTTTCAACTGCTTTGACTCTTTGGTTATCTGGAGGAGTTAGTTGGGAACAAAGGTAGTTTGCACCATTCTCCACAAAAACAAACATGAATTGAATACAAAAGAGAAGGAAAAACTTTTCGGCGAGTTTCCACTGCCGAAAAGTTTGCAGACTTTTGATCGAGAGGAATCCTTTCCACTTGCAGTGAGGCGAGAGTCCCAGTTTTAAAAAAGTCTCGAGGTGAAAATTTTTCAAAACCCGGAAAAACACAACCACACCTGCTGATATATCTACATGTAAATGCACTCGACGTGTAGAAAACATTATCCGACCTACATAATTAATTATACTTTTGCATGGTGGCAGTAATTAGTGTAGAAAGAAGTTGGCATCAACTCGTTCCATGTATCTCGCCATGGTCTATCTACTTTGTGCTTTTCCAATTTTGCCATCCATAAGGATTCTCACTCGCTGCTAATTGAAAATTATATTTTCAGATGAATTTATTGCCTTATATTTGCCTTGCCCTGTTTGAATTGACAGTGTTGCGTGTGCTCTATTGTTGCGAGAAATGTTGAAATTTCGCTTTATTTCAATGTTTGCCAAGCTAAATTAAATATGCAAGAGTTAATAGAAACTATGTATATACATTTCTAAAATATGAGCAAAGATTCACGAGACGATCTCTTCTTTGTTGAACGAGCAGCGGTTGAAATGGATCTTGTTTGAGCATTTCTCATGAATATTAAATGAATAACATGATATGATTCTCATTATATAATTTGACGAGATTTGCACATAAAGATATCACGAGGAAGTAGGAAGAAGCCTATAGAGTATGCTGAGCTATTTAATGGTGTCAACAGCTGGAAGCTCTACATAATACTCTCGAAATCTGTATTGTTGCTTTCAACATGTTGCTTTGTCCATTTCTGCATGTTCGGTGAGCGTCATTAAATTCGCAAACATTTGGAAAATTAATTAAGCCGTAGGGAATAAATTGATGCATTTAGATTACATAACAGGAGAAATAACTGGCAGGTATTTTGCTTAGGGAAAAACTTATATAATCACCATTTCACAAGAACAAAATTATTTTCAGGTATTTTAACCTATTAAATGATTGAGAAATATGCATAAATCTGTATGCAAGTATCTTCATGTGTTTGCTAACTCTATGTGCGTCGTGTATTGCAGCCTTGCATATAATTCTAATATATTTGACAATTTAAATTTACCCATTAGTGAGAAATCAGCCTAAACTTATACTTGGAACTATATGTATTTGAACAAGTCAAATCAATATTTGGTTTGCCTTGCTCATGTAAAATCGAGAAATATTTCAAATAAATTTTATTAAGTAAGTCAAGGAATGATGTTGAGTCAAGTCTAACTAACCAAATATTACCAGGAAATACATATGTACATAACTGCATAACATAATGCATGTACATATGTATCTAGGATTAAAATTAAGCCGCTGATTAAATTATCTTGGAAAAACTGACAAGTTTTCCTCATGTCGCACAAAGGTGGAATGTGATGCCTGCCTTCCTTAGCTGAGCTAATCAGAGGGATCAATCAGAGAGAAAGTAGGTGATTTGAAGTGAAAGGCGGTAGTAAGTAAGCAGGCAGGTAGGCATGTGTATGGCATTATAGCATTAAGTTTCAGGGTTGAGTTTCAGGAAGGATGGATTTCAGGATTGGTTCGACCATTAAGACCAAAAATCAGCCAGAGTTGAATGAAAGGACGCTCCAGTTCCGTGATCATCCAACCGATGCCAATCTACTATTCAATCTAACTTATTAGATTTCCCAGGCCCCTTGCTTTATTTTACTTTCCTTTCTCCGCTATATGGGCTCCTTGCTTAGAATCAACTAAACTTATTCACCCACCTTCTTTCACCTCTCGCCACTGATGATTATATATTTTTCCAGTTACAAATGTACAGAATTTTACGTGGGAACATGGCCTATGAGATTTATTCCATTCATGAATTTGAGATCTGGCTGACTCAATGTAAATAAGGTGAAGAACCAGAATTAAGCTGATCTGATTTAAGGATTTGTTCTTCATTAGTGACAGCGAGAATAGGCTGCAACTTTCGTGTAGGATTTTTACTCGCTCTGCATTTTATTTTATTCTGCTAATACTGATATTACTCCCCACGATGGGAAGTAAAACTTTAGTTCAATCTATTGCATAAAACTGCTTCCTAAAAATAATTTATAGTTTTTCGTTACAACTAATACGTATGAAATTTAAGTTACAAACTCTGCCACCTGAGTTTATTTATGGCAATTGCGCTGACAATATCGAGAGGAAATCGAAAATACATATTTATATACTTTTCTTAGCGTGTCGCATATGTGTATCTACGGAATCATCAGTTTGGTAAATCTGAAAGTTACTTTCTTTGGTTTGTGTGTGCTGATGTGAGAAAGGGTAAGTTGGTAAAGTCAGGAGACAGAGGAGAAAACCAACAGGGACCAAAGACACGAAGCCAAAAGCGAGAGAAAATATTGCAAACCAAGGAGAGAGGAAATCTCAAAGTATGAATCGAAAAAGTTGCAAGTAAGTTGTGTACTTTTTGTCACAATTGCAATCTGAAAAGTAGCGAAACAGTTGACAATCTGGGAGGAACTACATTGTATCTGTATCAACATTTCGCATTCTCCACTTCTGACTTTTTCCTGTGTGGGGAGGGGTGAAAGCGGGTGTGTGATGGTTGTGATGGTGTATGACATAAAAGAAGAAGAGAAATAAAATGAAGCCGTTGCTCACTTGATGGAATAATGTGGAAGGAGCATGGAGAAAGTTGTTTCCCGAAGGAATTTCTCGCCCAACATTTCACAAGCCCATAGTCGCCAATATGCTTGATTGTATACGAGAGGATGGCTTCGTGATGAATGTTATCTAGGTTGTCCTCTGGGGGTTTCCATATTCCATACAAACTCTCACCACCACCACCGCCGCCACCAACACCGCCACGGGAAGCAGGACCAGACTTGCCACCACGGGAATGGATTAGTACATCAGGTCGGCCTTTCAAACCGTCTTCTTTTTCATCCAACAACTTTAATTCCTTCTCTTGTACCTCCTCTGACTTTCTCCACATCCTCAGGTAGTTATCGGTGGCTTGCCCACGGTGGTGGTGGTGGTAGTGGTTGGAGGTCGACGCTTTTGTCGGATTTCCGTCCGATCCGCCCTCTGATTTTTCAGTGTCTGTCAAGCTTAACCCTGTTCCATTACGCCCAGTTTTGTCGGGAAAGGATGATCCCGTAGTAAAGTTTTTTGCCTGTGAGTTTCCATCCACGGCCACGTCACTATCACTGACAGAGTCTTTCACTCTCGACGTTGAATCACTTTCCGCTCTCGTAATTGGAAAAATGTACTCATCAAAGTCCTCTAAAGGGATGACCTCAATAGCGCCTTGGGTATGATTCCCCACAACCATTGGCAGAATTGGAACGGTATCATTAGATCTATTAGATAAGGTCCAATAGAAATTCAAATCTGGTGGCCAGGCCAAAATGTTGCAACTCAGCTTGTGAGATTCTCCAATGGCCAGCGGAATGCTCATGACTTCGGCTGAGACGCACTTTGGAGCAACTGTAATGAAACCAAAGACAACAACAATTTGTGGGTTAACATTACTTTAATAATACGCACACGTACATATTCCGCTAAAACATGTGATCAGCAAGCATTTTTTAATGAAAGGACATGATCTGATATTTTAAATTGATCTTTGGGGAAAAATAAAAACCATAACCAACCAGGAGCATCATTACTAGAGACATAATCTTGGAACTCGTGTGGAACGACTTGGCACAAGCCATTAGACTTTAGGATCCTACGACCTTAGTCGATTCCACACTGTGCGGCAGTAGTCTTCTTCCTCCTGAAGTAGTCATGCTGTTGTTGTTCCATTACTGCGTGGAATACTCTAAACCTACCACAGGTCGATGGAAAATGGCTCCAATTCGTACTAATTAATGTTTTCGTGCGCAATTTTGTCAGCCAGGAGAGCTCCATTTAAAATGGTACTCAACCAATGATTGAAATCTGTTTGAATCATGCTAGACCAAGATTTGGATCAGGATTTAATTGAGTTAACTCGTTGAGGCTCAGCTGACCTTGACTAATGGTGAAAGTAATGACTCACTGACTTAATAATTAGTGGGCACGTGTATCAATATCCGTATCTATCTACGCATGTGAATTTGTATCAGAAGGTTGAATTAAATTGGTGATCTTCAGTGATCATCATTCCTTCAATAAGAAGAATAGAATGTGCATATTAAAACTACTTAAATTAATCCACGAATATTTACAGAATATCGTAACTTATTTATGCGATTAAAAAATTATCATCAGAAAATTGTCAAGAAAATATAGTCAGCACGAACTTCGACTGTAAGGGTAAAAAAATGTAGACGTAGAGTTCAGGTGTTCAAGTAAATTATCACCGATTAATCATTGTCTGCTCTGGCCTTGTCCTCACTCAGCGCGTTTAGGTTATCATAATCTAAGGACTGTCACATACTCTTTTTCTCCACAGTCCTAAATATATCACGATCGATATACACATATCGCAAGGTTGACTTGGAACAGTTTTTAGTTGATGGAGACTCAGGGCGGACCCAGAAAAAATTAATAAAACATGCCACGATAGTTAACTAGGTGACAGACCTGTCAAACGGAAGGAAGGTGTGGTGTGGGAATGTGCTGAAAAATATGAGGACTACATAACTTGGACGCGACTCCATTGTTCTGCTCTTTTCCTCCTTCGACAGCAGCAGATGATCTGCTTTCATTCTCGCACAATGTGATGCTGTGGAATCTGGGTTTGGCGAAACTAACTCAGCAACCTAGCGAAATGATGATAAAGCAGTGAGAAAGCGAAAAAAGCTGTCATCTAATGGGAGGCACGGATAATATATCTGAAGCCATAATTTATAGGCGTTAACAAGACCTGAGACAGTTGATCATTAATGACACGCCATAAAAATCTCATCCCTACTTTCTAAACCAAAGTGAAGCTACTGCGTATACATAGTCAAGGTTTGCCTGATGCTTCAAGCAACAAAAAACGGTAAGCAGTGAAGTATCCTTGTGTCATCCGCATTAATGTGGGTTTAGCCTCTTCAAATAGTGTTCGTTATTTCGTAGCCTGACTCTCTTGAGTTCTCCTTGTTAACAAGAATCATATTTTATACGATTCTCCGTCTCACTGAATAATACATATTTACAGGCTACGAATCCATAATGAGTAAACCAAATTTCGGCTATTTGTCTAAATGACCCCTTTTTATACATATGCATACTTGTGTCAATTATTGTCAACCGAATAATAAATCAAAACAATGGACCTTTCTAAACTTAAATACAAACATACTTTTTGATTGCAGTAAACAAACATATTTTGATATTTTGCAGATAATTAAAATGTTGAGTACATGTGTATTGATTATTGTCCACTGCATTACAACAGTGTGCGTGTGAGGCAAAATTGTGTACATGTTTCGCATTTCATGTCAAGCAACTCAACACTTGTAATTTTGTGAAATGCAAATAGCTTATCAAATACTTTATTCATGGAAGACAAGACAGCCTTCACATAACGTGTGGGCATATGTATGCAAATATTGGAATTGATTTACAACCCATCGTACTTGCTATGCAGAATATTACTGGTGCAACTTTGAAGTGGAGAAAGTAGCATTTACATGGGTTTCGAAATACATTTCCGACATGCCGCCTACATATTTTCAATGGAAAAACAAAAGTTTGGGTTAAACTGGGCACGATAAGTTCGTCTTATTCTAAGAATTTGTATCGTGTCTCTAATTTCCCATTTCAGTCATATAATAATAGACCGTTAAGAAGTTCGTGTATTTATGTATCTTGGTTTACAGGAGCCAGAATATGACATCATGAACAATAACGAAGTGCAAAGGCTGATATGTATCTATAAAGGTCGTGGATTTTTTAAGAATAAGAAGGTTTTGCAAATTGCGTGCTTGACTTTATTGACTGACTTTGTTGGTTAATTTTAGTTTTCGTGTTTTGTAGGCTAAGTCCTCGTCAAAGTTGTTCTAAGGTTGAAAATATACAGTGAATTTAGCCATGACACGTCACTCATCCTTTCTCAGTCAGTGAGCCAGTTTGTCCAACCTTTAATCTTGAAATCTTGTTGGTGTGACTGACATTTTCTCCTGATTTAGACCATATGCCGGCGTGGAGGAAAAAACCGTTCGATTTTGTTTCACTTTTTTTTGTATCCTTAACAATGTAAGATACTACTTGTACACCACATATGTTGTATGATGACTGATTGTGAGCGATGCTACGCTCCATAAGTGCACCAAATTGTTGTGCTTCTAATGAGATATCAGCAATTGCTACATATTTATATATGTAGTCATGTATTATTAAATCTTTGTCGTAAAGATGTGGACGCAGAATTGCCACGTTTAAGGGATATTGCTGTATATAATTAAGCTCTTTTGCACCATTGGTTTATACGTATCATAGTTTTCAACGACATTAAATTCAGTTAGGAAAGAAATCAAAGCATTGTCAAACCGCATATGGCTTTCTATTTCTCAAATATTTGAGTTGGTATGCATATTCCTCAAATAAAATGAGGGACCGCAATATATTGGCATATTTAAATCCGATCTCAATCCATTCTATAAACAAAGCTTCGAATTCGATGCAAGATATTTCAAGATTCTTAACATTTAATAATATGACAAAAATTGAATACTTTGGCAGGATTTTCAACCCACACGCAATAGCATCTGGGCTTTATTGTTGCACTTTGTGGAACACCCTTCGGTGCCCTAAGCAAGTTATTTAAATCAACTTGAAGAAAGGGAGAGACCCAAGGCACAATATTAGCTAAAGTCAATTGTGCTCCGTTTCCTACTCACCAAGTGTAAATAAGATTATGGAGGAGGACGGAGATCTTTATTCTCGCTCTGCCTGCCTGGGTGAAAACTTGGAAAGGGTGAGTTGTGGCGTGGCGTGGGTTAATCCTTCTTTATTGTAACACAGAGCTTAGCAAAATGTGAAACACTTTTAGTTCTTTCCACCATCACCGAGTCACTACTCACTCAACCACTATTTTCATAAAGATAATCATGTCGGTAATAATAGCGTCATTTATGGGTGCTTTAGGGTGTACTTTGAAAAGGACTCAATCTTGGCAGCAGCGCAAAAACGCATGATGATGACGGTAATTTATGAAATGGAAGTTGCGTGCAGATGGATTAAAAGTTGAGTTGTATCATAGGATTTGTGTCGTGTGGTAAAAATACAGTGTTTTGTCCATCAAACTCGCATGATCAAATACTTTTACTTAAAATACGTACTGTTGGACCAACAAACACTACAATTCAGCGGAATAGAGATCTTACTGTTAAGCTCAATTGTGAGTGGATTACTCCTTCCCTTCCCAATGACGTTTGAGGCTTGGCAAAAATATTTTCCCCCGGAATTTGTCTTCAGATATGTCAGAATTAAGGTCATTCCGGTAAGGCGAATCCCAGTGGTTTCATCGTTCACCAATTCGTTTTTCTATAGATTATTCAATTTTGAATTAAATATATATTTTGGTACAATACTTTACAGCATGTGAATTTATAAATAATCGTATTTGGCCCTAGTATTTGGCCCATTCAATTGCTCAGCAGGTTTTTAATATGTTTATAGAATTTTTATTTTGGGCTGCTTTGTATAAATATTCAGAGGTAAATAAATATTTTTCTCAAATGCACTGACTGTTTGACGTGGGAGTGGGGATTTTGTGTAGATGCACGTACTTATATATTTAGTAGACTTGGGATTGACAGAAACCATTTAACTTGGGTTAGTGGGGGTTCTATGATAACTAGAAATCGGATTTTTTTTGCATAAGTGAAAGTTAGTTTCCTGTGTATGATGATAATAGCCCATGTGTATAGGCGCTTGATAAAATTGAGCACGATTTTGTCGAAATCTCAGGAACTTATTGAAAAATTTCCTTTCTGCATATACAAATAAATCCTTGGTAAATTTTTAAATTCTTGAGAAAGTGTCACATGAAATGTCTCATGTCTCATATCTAGCTCGACATGATTTTGGTAAATCCACAGTGAACGGACACATTTATCTAAAAATGTAAACGCTTATAAATATCTCACCCCGTGGAACCAACTTAGCGAGAATATTGGAGGAGAGCTTCGTACATGGCATTCCATCAAGCAAGTTTCCCCTTCGGTGAATTCATTGGTTTTATTTTGGCCAAACCGCAAAATGGCAACTGGAGTGTCTGGAACAAAATATCAACTTAATTAAGTCCCACGTTTATTTGTCACCATTAAAATTTACGATGCACTTCATCCTGTTAAAGTGCACCAGACACGGCTAGTTATGGAACCTACTGTCGAGTCATTCAATCTCTACATCTTGGTCCAACCCACCCGGCAGAGGGTTAACTTTTACTATTTTTAGTAAACTAAAAGTAAATAAGTATTATTACTTGTGAAGACCAATCAATGCTAGTTGTCAGTTACTTCACTAATTCTAGCTTTTTCTGGTATGTCAGCAGTCGATGACAATTACTGATATTTTCTTGGAAAAGGTATGTCTGCATACATACATATGTTCAACAAATTGATTTGACCGATTTTAACTGTTAAGTACTACTGCTTACATTATAAGAATTGTTATTTCAAGTTTTTTAAAAATAAAAGTGTTTATTTTTTACAAGTTAGATTGGTCTGTACAATGCGAAATATAATATTGCAAACGAGGCTTTCATCTCAAAAATAGAAAAGATGCATCCCCAAATGTCTTATTACTTACGTACTAGTCAGCAAAATTTATCTACAATACAAGGACAACAATAATGGCATGCCATGTAACTTCTATGAAGCAAAGTAGAGATGAACAGAGTGCTAGGAATCTTGGAATATGCTTAGTCTGCGGCTAAATGAATGAAAACACACAACATGCAAAGCCTGATAATTTTAAAACAGCTATTGTTACATAAGCATTTGCTTTGTCTTGAGCACTAATTCTTTCTGGTTATAACGCCGGACATCTTTTATGCAACTATTTCACGAAACCATCTCAACGATCCTTCTTGCATATTGTGCATCCTTTCACAAGAATTTTTGTTTCGCAATAATGCTTACGTATTAATATAATGTGTATTATTGTCCAAAGTTGGACAATGAACATTTACTTGGATGAGGGGACGAGATTTTGTGCATTGCAGGGATTGAGAACGGGAGATAAATGTGTTGCCAAGAGAAGAATGCAGATGATGGAAAGATAGCAAAAGTGATTTGATTAGTGAGTAGAATTTATTACTTTGACACTCCCAGTTAGTGCCCGAATCCCTTCCTCTAATCTCATATTTGTCTTAATCAGGACAAATTTCTCGAGGCACTCAAAATTGGGTGGATGTAATATGTAAAGCTTAACGAGATTTCGGCTCCTGGTTTTTATCTGCTTGATCATGTTCGAGAATGAGAAAGGCAATGAGAAGCGAAAGATTTCTATTTCTTCTTCTTGTGTCAACAAGACGACGACTCCAACCGAGATGAAGATGCAGCGGAAAAGATCAATTTTGGTATCAGGGAAATGACTTAAATCAGAGCTCAGCCAAAATGGCACCAAAATCTCAATACGGTAAATTGTTTCAATCAGTCATGCCATTTCTTAAGTATGTAGCTCAACATTAAGTAATAAGCAAAAGGATTCAAATTCTGAATCATAGATAAAAAAATATCGACTGTCAATATTTAGTAATTATTCATAAAACGAGGATAACGCCAACACGGGTATCAACGCAACTAATTCCATAGAGATTTTATTTTACGATTCCAAGAATTTGAGGTGACAATCTTACATTTTATCCGCATGGTTTTTCTTGCCACCATCGGCTTTTCGTTAAGCCTTGGATTTTCTGCCCTACAGGATATCGTTTCCTCGTCATCGAGAATTTCCGGCTTGAAGAGAAAGTTGTGAGTTGTCACATTGTCTGCCTCAGATCTCTGAAATATTAATTATTTGATGTCACCCATCCATTTTCATAGGCCAACGATTCGCTGAAGTAAAGGCTCCAAAAATAATGGGGTTAAATAAGAAACCAAAAAAATGGAATGTAATATTCTACAAGGTTTTAAGTTAAAGTGCAGTACAGTAAAAGTTGGTGATTCGATTGGAGTCCAAAAATATTGTCAATTTCGAGGGATGATTAGATTATAGAGCTTTATTGCTTGTATGTTAGTCGCAGTAGAAGTAGCAAAAATAAAGCAGTCAGAGTACTTACAGCTTGATAAGTTGGTCCCAAGCGTTTCTGCATTTTCCAGAACTCTATTTTTATTTCAGGATAAGCGCCTACTGATTTGCACCGTATTAGGTACTCGTTCCCTGCTGTCATCTCGTCTGGGACTTCCAGATCGACCTCCTTAACTCCGACTAGAACGACATGTACTATTCATTCATTTGCTATTAATAGTATTCTAGAGTAATCTCGAAGCCATAGTCGTTTTAATATGAACTGAAATATTATTCGCTAATTGTCAAAAACTGTTCACAAACAGGCTCACTCAGCTCATGTCTTGAAACGTACATACTCCTCGTTCTCACAAAATTAACAGTGTATTAGGTTTCACTTTATTTCATCATCCAAATCTACCAAAAAGTGAGCCGAGAAATTTTAATTACAGAACTTACGGTAAACATCCAAGTTGACGTTGTGAGAAAGTGCTCGGCTTTCATTATTGTTTGAAGCTTGGCATGTTAGCAAGTCGGCAGAATGTGAACTCCCCAAATTACTTATGCGTAACTCATTCACGGCATAATTGCTTCCGACGAATTCATACGTTGAGTCAATCATCACTCCGTTTTTGAACCATTTTACTTCAGGCAATGGCTTTCCTGAAAGTTATACCCACCAATATTTAGCATTAGGTATTTACCGTACTAAATAAGCAACAATAAGTAGCATGCTAACATGTTTAGCTAAATTGAAATATGTGAAGACAAATGATCTTTTACCGACTAGTCTTATTTTTAAAGTGTGTACATAAAGTTGGGGGTATTGATGCATGGTTCAATACATGAAATGCTGTTGGTACGTGTACGGTATATGCAGAGAAATGGTGGAAAATGACAAATCCATACAAAGTGTATATATGTATATAGGTATATATGTAAATAACTGCCTTCATTTAGGCCTTCTTGCTATGTTTAACAAGTGACTTGAAATTAAAATTCTTACCTCCATAAGCATTACACCTCAATGTCACATTTTGACCTTCCAGGTAAGGCCCCATATACGTTATGTCCGAGTTGTGACTTGTAGATGATGAGATTCTTTGATCTGCAATAGGACGGGAAGTGGAAATGTCCAAGATTTCCAGATGAGAAGGTGGTTCTGTAGCAAAAATGCAACTTATTCATATGAAATGTCCGAACTTGAACGTATGTACATAGCTGTAAATTTATGTTCCAAACTCACGAATGACTTTCAACAACATGAAATAGTTACTGGTCGGAGCACTCCGATAATCCACACGGCATCGGTACACCCCTCCATCGCTGTAGCATTAAATTGAATGTTAGTATAAATAGGACAATTTTTGTCACAGAAAAAGATTTAAACCATGAAATAAATCCAGTCACCTTGGCTGAATATCTTTTATTATCAAGGCAGGAGAGCGTCTCAAATTAAACACTCGGAAATATAGGCGAAGGCCCCAATCATTTTGCACAGGCAGGTGTCGCGGCTCTTTGTCCAATCGAGCGTCATAACTGCGAGACATTGAAAGTATATTGTTTGTAGAATAATTTTCTCCAGCTCTTCATGGATCAAGAAGCAGAGTTAAAAGTTTGAGAATGGGGAAAAGTTGTGTGGGCGGGGATGATATTTAATATCAAACGAGAGTAATCAGAACGGATTTAGACTGCTCCCTTGAGCTCAAATGACAATTTTGTATCTTTGCTAACATTTTGCAAATAGCTGCAGTTGACATTACTATGCACATACTCGTTTATTTTGCGAGGGAGTACACGTAACCGAATTGAAAGCTATTTTCAGGAACTGCTCCTGACATCAAAGTAAGAATAAGAGTTATGAAAGTTTTCAAGTTTTGTCTGAATGCTTCAACTACACAGGAATTGTATATTTTGCAATTGATTAACCTTTAACCGTTCGTTATGCACGTAATTGAGCTTTGTCAAAGACGGTGTTCATTTGTTCAAAAGCAGTGTCTATTGGTCTGGTATATCGACTAGAGTAAATAGATATGTGAATGATAAGTACGTGAGACTTGTTGAAAACCTAACATGACAATTTACCTGTAGATTGGTAAACCGGAAGAGTCCTTGAACCACAAAATCATGGCGATATCATCAAAAGATCCAACCGGGCATGGTAGTTGTGCAAGGTTATTCGTCAGGCTAATTATTTCTCGAACTGTTTTTCACATAAATCCACACATATTAAATTAATTAAATAACTGCTTTCTGCGTTTCAGCGTGAAAAATTTAGATAACAACTTACGTTTCTTAGAGGATGAAAAATTATCACAGCTTGCTATCCAAATTAGGAGTTGGAATGTAGCCAGTTGAAGTTGTTTTATTTTCTGCATTATTATAAATGCCACGCTATGATAATGTAAATAACAGGCCCACTATTTTCTGAATCAGAATCGAGGCTTAAAATTCCCCAAGCACAAAAACCCTGTTGTTGAATTCCCATTAGGACAAATTTTATGAGATTTCGGTTAGGTTTACACAAATATGCTCATTTAATATCAGGTTTGGTATGTCAGCTCAGAAGAAGTTTTAGTAGCACTTATTTTATTTAGCATAGTTGCATATGTATGCATTTACAGATAAAGGAAATCTGTGACATGACCGACCTCGAAATAACGACAACTTTACAACATTCTTGCAGCCGTTTAAATCTTGAATACGTACATATAAGGATTTTTCACAGTGTACTATGCAATAATTTTACATACTGATAACGAAGAACCAAGAAAGGTATATATGTATTTATTCGGAATCATATTTGTCATAGACTCGATATATTTATTACACAATAACAACACAATAACGGGCATTTCGGGTCACAGAACAATTTGGCACTTGTACAATCAATTTGGTTATTCTATACATCCTGCACCCGGAAGTGGAAAATGGCACAATTTAGAGAACTTTTGTTGATCACTGCACTCTTAATATTTAGACCGTCGATTTACTGAAACGTTTCAATTCTAAGATCTGTGCATTATGTTTCACTCAAATTTAAATTTGTATTACTTGAAATGTAAGATCAAAGTTATTGTGCGTCAGTATTTCTCAACCAGTGAAATGCAAATGCTCGTGTTTCCTTCCGTCAAGTCAAAGAATTTCGGATACAAGTACATATTCTCCCGAGTTTAAAACATTTGAGGTTTGAAACAAGTCATTAGTAGTAGCAGTAATAGTGGAAGGAAGTACTTATTCCGTTTCACTGTCAAATATTATAAGGTCGTCGGTTCGTTGCTGTAGATATGTATGCATGCATGAGCATATCTTGCACACATCGGCACATCAATTCCGTATCTTTGGGTACAGGCAAGTGTTGCACTGATAGGAATAACAAAACCACGAGTCCCCTGTTTTGTTATGTAACGTTGATGTTTTCGAACACGGAGACCCGAAAAACTTTAGTGCATTCAAACTTTAGTTCTCCTTAAGTTTACGATGATACGGTATGAGTTGCGAGCAACGAGCATTACCATAAGTACCATAACCAGGGAGCATATATAGATAAGACGATGGATAAGGAGAGGCAGTTCAAGTCAGAAAGATCTCCGAGCACTAATACGAACCCGCATTATTTTTTGCATTAAGAGATACACAACCCCTGATAAACTTTTGACGGAAAATGCGAAGCCTAGTCGCCACACAAGCATGCATGCGAAGCGACATTCTTACTTGATGTCAACTAGTTCTACAAGTAAGATATGCACATACCGTCCTCGGATGTGCGTGCAACTGGTTTGATACTCGAATCATGGTAACCGGCGTTTCCTGCTATTTCCTCATCAGCTTTGCACATCAACATCATCAACCGAGAAATCTCTCGGATTTTAGACGCCTAAGCGCTTTCCTGGAACTTTGGTGAGTAAACATGCATATATTATTAGCCACAAGTACCGAGAGGAAAACGAAAACAACTTGAATATTTAATGCGAGAATATGCATGTATGTAAAAGTAACCATATTTATCCAGCATTTTTTTGATCTTCCCTTGAATACACATTTCCAAGTAAAGCGCAATAAATAATGTCCAAATGAAAAAATAAGTAAGTAAGCATACAAATGTATGAAACAAAAACGGTAGAACATTTTTCTTATCGTCCAGTACTGAAAATAATGGCAATCGTACAAATTAGTATGAAATATACTTTGTAGCACCTAGATACATTAACATATTGATTTTGACTAAATTCATAACATGGGGTACATATGTAAGTATCTCACAATCAATAAATATAATGATGTAACTTAAGATTAATTCCTAAATATTGTTTAATCAAATGTTTATTTAAAAATCAAATTTATTGAAACGTCTCTGAATCCAAAGTGCAGAGGACGGGAGGCCAAGTTAAATATACGCAACGCTTTATGAATGTGTCCAGAATTCAATGCTCAACACAGATCAGAAAAAAATCGTCAAATATTTATATATGTATAGTAATCTGCTCCTCTAGTAGACATCGGCGGTGGAATGGTGAAATGACAGTATGGAGGAATTCGTGGTGGATTCATCCTACCGCCGCCCATGTCTGTCTTCTACTGAAATTTTAAATAAATAGCTCGCACTTTTAGACGTGCTCGATACCGATACTATGTATGATGGAAATCGCTCCAGTTTCCCAAAATTTCCAGTCCGCGTTTCTTGGTCGAAACGCTTTCAAATGAAATCTCATCAACTAGAAGAACATGTTGAAGCCAATCTTTCCACACAGCCAAAAATCTTGACTCTCCGTCGTTCCTATCTATTACATACATTCTGCTCCATGGAGAGGGTCGTTTTCGGCAGAATAGTGGCAGTGGCTGCTATGGGATGATGAAAGCTTGTAATAAAAGAGCGGTGAGTGATATGTGACTCGAGAGGCAGTCATAATAAGTAAAATCCACCAAAGCTTTTTAGCATTTTATTGATCTCATATCTCAGACCAAGTCAAGTGATTTGGTCTTGGGTTTGATCCGTATGATCTGCACTACCACTGCCTGGACATAGTTGGAAGTTCAAATTGGGTGCAAGTTAAATTTGAAAGAGTGCGAAGAGTACACGAAGGAAAGGATGAAAAACTACTCCTCAAAGGACAGGGAACCCGCAGAATCCACGAAATATTTTCTGCGTCTTACACTTGCTACCTCTCTCTCGGCCGTTGCAGCTTCTCTCTCTCTCAAGAGACTTGCTTTCTCTTCTTGGTGGATTTGTTATGAGGAAGACCATTTCGCACTGGCTCTGCTGTTTGTGAACTGAATCTTCTTCTGCGTCGTTCTATTGTTAACCGTTCGTTTGGCCGTGACTTTTCTTTTCTTGCCAAGTCTGCTTGAAATCATGGAATGAATCTGCTGTGCAATATCACATTATCTGTTTCTCAGAATTCTGTAAAACTTATTAAAGCTCAAAGGTTGATATTTTCCTTTGTTGTTCTAATTGCGAGGCATTTGAAGTAGAAAAAGTCGGACAAGGAGGCACACTCTGCTGCACCACGATTTTCGCGTGAGAGAAGAGAATAGAAGGATTTTATCTAATTTTTCTTTTCTTGAAAGTGGCCAGTGACCAAAATGCCAACCTTGAAGTTGTTCTGGTTCTGATCGCTATTGTTATTTTGCAAGGGATGAAACGTCACCAAGCTCACAGCCAGCAAGAATTATGTAGAAATAAAATCAAGGCTTTTGTGTGTAGTCTTTCCCAGCTGCAGTTTTCGTCATGTGATCCGACGAGCACCAATAGGAACGGGTTTCGTGCGGTGGTGGCGCACCCGAGTTGCACCCGAGCTATGACTCGGGTGCACTTCGGGCAGTCACGTGACGAAAACTGCAGCTCAGAAAGACTGCACACAAAAGCCTTGAATAAAATTATGATAATGAGCCCAGTAGATATTACTCGGGTCACGTAACGTATCCCAGCCAAGAGAACATTTTTACGGGGTTTCTCGTTAGCTCCCATAAGAGTTAACAGTGAGGCCTCGGAGTCCTACGCCTCTCTGTTAACTCTTACGGGAACTAACGAGAAACCCCGTAAAAATGTTCTCTCGGCTGGGATACGTTACGTGGCTGCCGTAATAACTAAAAGTTCGTATCATCAAATGGATTTTAAATAAAAGATACCCTTCCTTGCTGACCCACTAACCAACAAAACCCGTATTCAACCGATTCTCCCTTTGTGGACCACTGGGACAATTTAGTTCTTTGTCCTAAAGTCAAATATAGCCCAGATGTCAAAGGTTAAATTTGGCAAGGTTAACAAACTTATGCGACATATTGGTAGAATTGATATATACATATGTACAAAACTGGGACGAGTACATGCAGAAAGTTACAAACTCTTTCATTACAACAACTCCATGAGAGTATGACTTTTCGTGTTTCTATTTGTGATGAAGATTTGAGCTGGAGAGAGATGTTTGACGGACGAATCAATTCGCTGGACTATATTTATTAAAAGATTGGTCAGATTGCAACAAAGGCTACATGCAATGCAATAAAAGGTCGAATCAACTTTTCTTTTCCTTTCAGAATGGTTTGCACAAACAAAATGTAACAAATCTTTGAAGATGGATTTTGCACGAAATTTTATTTTATGGCACGTAATACGTATTATTGTTAGGAATTATTGATCCGATTGATTGCCTGCTTCAAGGCAGCTCTGTACTCGTCTTTAATAATCTTTATGCCTTCATCCGTCTTGAACCATCGAAACTCTTCATGTTCTTGAGAAAGACGGATGACCTTTACGCACGAACTTTGCAACTTTGCTGGCCAAAGAGTTACTATCTTGCGGATGTTGGAAGGATTCGTGTACTGCAAAAATTTATCAACAGACAGCCAGCATTATTGTTAATAAGTGCGATTAAATTGTAGATTCCTTCTACTTGAAGCTTACTTCTAAACTGACCTGGAAACAAATGTTGTGATGCAACAACTTGAAATCCACTCCTTCAATTAAACCAGTTTCTTCATTAGTCTCTCTGCGTGCCGTTTCAATTTCGTTTTCCCATTTTCCATCAGATTTTCTTTCCCGTTTCCCTGTAGTTCAGTGGAAATGTTATTTTTGCCTGTTATTTTTACTTAAATATTCTTACCCTTTGGCGGACTCCAATCGTTTTCCAGTTTCTTTTTTAGCAACAAATATTCCATCGCACTCTGACCTTGGTTTTCGCACTCTTGATACACAATAAATCCGCGAACATGGTTTATTTTTTGTCTAGACAGAAGTTGATACTCCATTTTCAGAGTTTACATGTGGAGATGAATATTGAAACGTTGTGAACGCGTCAAGCAAGCATTCAATATGACTCGAAACAATGCTCTTTACGTGATTGATTACATATGCATTGGAGTACTTTTTAAGGTACTTTAGACCTGTTGAGCAACATAATTAAAATATTTGACACTTCCACCAGCACAAAAGTAGAATTAACAATAGAATGCGTAATTTTATTCAATACAATGTCAGCAATGTACATTATTTTCTCTAACATAAATATATTCATAATCAAACATATTGCCATTTACCTTGACTCTTTTATGTACTTGGTCTGTTAAGCCAGACAGATGCTCTCATATTGTTGATCACTAATAATTACTGTCAATGTGACATTGTCACCAATTTCTCTAAGCTATATCCTGTCTCTTCTCTGACTATGATTGATGATCAAGACTCATTTTGTGAAACACACGAGTTTTCATTAATTTTCTAGCAATATCTGTCAGAATTTTGTATAATTGTGAAAGTATTAAACGGCTGAAAATTTGATTATGTCGTGTAATAATGTAGGTTAATATTCTGTCCTACATTGAAATAAACGTCAACACTGCGCTGTGTTTGTCGCACAAATAAATAAATCGGACAAGCCAGCAGAACGTATTTGGGGGAAAGTCGGAGAAAGCGGGGCATGGAGAGAGTAACACATGGGAGAACAATATTGAGACTTGTGACACTTTCCACTCTCGTTTATCTCGTTTCATTTTATTTTGCATAATTCTTCCTGGTGTGGCGAAGACTAATATAAATTCATAGAGAGAGAGCCTGCTGCCACACTTCCTCTCTGCTCTCGAGATTCATTTTCAATTTATTTTGTCCCAATGTTGGTCGTGTGTTGAATGTGTTTTCATTTTCTCGTCTCATCAAACCACACGCCGCTTGTGCTGCTGCTGGTTTTATCCTCATTTTACGGGATTCGTTCTTTCTTTCTCTCTCTCTTCTCGGCCTCTGGGAAGTTTGCATCTTCTTCTTGGAGAAATAGCCTGCTGCCAAAATTATTTGAACTTAGGGTCGACCGTCCTCATTTCCACAGCGCAAAAAGCACTACATTTTCTCGTCTTTTATTTGAAAGAAAGGTCGGAATTTTGCTAGGCGCCCTATTTTTATGCAAGATGTCTCGGAGCATTTAAATGGCTTCATTTACGTTGGACGTGTCATGCTCATTAAATTATGATACATTTCAAACTGAATGAGAACCACGCCACACCTTCACAGAAATGTATATGTGCTCTACGTACCTCGTAATGTTTTATGTCGCAGCGCTAAAAAATCCGCAGCGAGAAGAGGAGATGAAAACGACAAAGGACATGGAAAAAATGTTTGATGATTCAGAAAAGACAATTTACTGGGTGCTTGGAAATCAAAAGGGCAAAGATATGATGCATATACATACATACATACACATGTATTATTTGCATACGTGCTTATGTACATATTCGTGCTCGTAGTGCAATATAATATGAAAAGGAACTTGTTCAAGATTAGTGTTGCTAGATTGATTTTCTTTGTTCAAAATTTTCCATCAATTTTTCTGCCTGAATCTCAATGTAGCATGATGATGTGCATTTTGTAACTTTATTTGATATGGTGTACGACTTATTATTGCCACGTTTTCTAAACAAGAACAGAGCAACCCATTATTGACATTTTTTATTATTAAATATCTTGACAGGCGAGGAAATGGCTAAATATGTACACGTTAGGCAAGAGACCGTGCTCAATGTGGACAAAGTACTCTTCATTGTCATGCAAGGTTCACCATGGTTCACATATTTGAAGAAAAGGAAGAAAAAGTTCTCTTCTCCCGTTACGCCAGTTTTATTTATTAATATATTCAGCTTATCTCTGGCACGCATCACTGAACTTTAATGTGTGGAACTTTGTATTATGATGGGAGATTGTCTGCTACTACTTTCGTTGATTTCAGCTTGGTTGAGTTATCTCAAGATTTCTTTGAATGGCTGTGCTATGCATTGTGGAAAACTTTCTCTGGCGCAAGACTCGCCAAATTAGACAAAGCTAGCCAAGAAGGAGTGACTGAGCCTGTTGTAATTTCACTCAACAAAGAGTTGACCCCGCTGCAGCTCAGGCTTCGCTACCACTTGAGGTGACTCGAACATAAACATTACAATGAACTAATAGCCACACTATAGTTACAACTACGACTCCTAATAAGATCAGGGCAGAGCAATGAGCACCATTCTCGGTGGCCACAGATAAATTAGCTTGACTTTGCTGTAACCTATTCAGCGTTTTAACTGCCAAGTCCAATACAGGGATTGGAGGACTGTGAAATGCAATGAAGCACAATTATAGTTACGTACATACGTGTCAGACTCTTGGCAGGCTAAATACATTATTTTATCAAAAATAGCAATATTTCTGATATTTTGGGCAGTCGAAACCACAAATCCTGGAATCGTTTGTCTTAATAAGTAGTAGTAAGTAATACTTGGGGTAAAAGTGCATTACATTAATGGACTTACATTTGGCCAAATTATTCTCATCTTATTAAAATAAGGAATAAGAATGCACTGCTGCAGTGGTATGGTTCACATGGGGAATATGCGACAAACAGTAAAACTAGCCAAGAAGCATATTATACTTCGAAATACTTTCAGACTTCCTGCGCCATCTCCTCCCTGCAAATCTAGTTCGGCGCCCAACCTTTCATTCCGAGTTGTGAGTAGTTTCTAAAAAGCTGGTGCTGCGGAGTCGATTTGAAACTGTATCCTGTCTCAAAATAGGACAGTCAAAATAATGTTGTTACAGTACAAAATTTAGGGTATACATAAACATAACGGACCATTTTTAACCACTCGTAATCGGCATATAATTAGCGACCATTAGCATGAACATCACAGTTAAATTTTACGAGCTTGAAGAAAACGCTGCATTCCGCAGAGATTATAAAGTACCTCAACCGGGGGTGAACCGCAATACAGTAACATAGGTTTAGCTGATATGCTGTATGCAGATATCAGCTTCTGTCTCAACGCTGACAATGATGAGATTATTTATTAAAAGATGCAAAATGTGTGTGGAGATTAGGAAAGTGGTAAGAAAATACTTCTCATATTTTTTACTGCAATAATGTCGTGCATTTGTGTAGCATGCCTCAGTCGAATTTTATCCCTTGCATAGAATACAACAATTGCATACATGGGAAACATATATATTTATGATATTCTTAAATTGTGATAATATTCAGTACAATGTATTAATTGAACTGTGTAAGTAAATAAGCTCAAGATAAGCATACTCATATTTACTGACTCACATTTGCTGGAAGTCTTCAAAAATGGTTCCGGAGGAGGAAAGTGTTGAAAGCCTAATGGCACAATTTGGTAAAATTCTAAATTGAATTATTCTCCTTGAGTTTACAATTCTAAAATAATGTTTCATAAACTGAGCAGGAACTACGGGGAAGTATCAGACCAGACAATATATTCTACACTTCTTTGTTGCCTTTCTTTCTGGGTATGCATATTTATGCGCATGTTGAAAATTTTAAGAAGAATGAAGGAATTTTGTGTTTGTATTACAAGAAACTAATTCGCAACGTTTTTTGCACAGACTGCACATGTTCTCCTTGACCTTTATCGCGGCCACACCTCGTCATAGGTAACCCCACTTTCTTTCCATGGTCAATCTTGATCATCCAGTCAGTCATTAATTGAAACCGTCAATCCAGATGCTACATCCAAGAACTTGACGCTGGACTAGCAGACAACAATAATGTCTCACTTTTTGAGAAAGAGATTTTATCCCGATACATTCCCATCAAGGCCGATGGAGAATTAGATTCGTGTCACCGATACTCTGCTGAGCTGCCCTTTGACAACGGCAGCGTCGATGCCAAAACGACGTCGAGGTTGGTGGAGCAGTGCAATGGACAGTTTGTATATGACACATCAATTTATCAACAATCGCGAGTCTACGATGTAAGTGTTCGATATAGGTTTGAGATAAATCATCATCACGAGATTTCATCCTTGTACATAGATTGATAGTCAACAAACGTTTCCGTTAGTATTGATTCAAGGAGTGAGTGGATATGAGGTGAAATTATTACGTGTCATCAATGTGATTTATATTTCAGTTCCACATGGTCTGCGAAAACAAATGGAAGAGAGCTTTCATACAGTCTATTTACGTTTTCGGAGTATTTAGTGGAGCCTTATTTTGCGGGTCTTTGTCTGACAGGTGCGTAAATACTCTGGGATTTAAGGTGTTCAGACAGGGTCACGCTCACACTGACAAAGTAAAAGTATCTCTCGATCCTTCCTTCCTTCCTGTCTCCCTCCTGGATTGGTGGGAGTGGGGATTGTGTAAATATGGGGACAGGGATTGTGTGTAGCCGCTTGGTGCCCAAATTTAATCCCGTCTTGGTCAAGAATTGTTGTTTCACTGTAACAAAATTTATGTTGTTTTTGCTGTGCGTGGGCTCAACTTGCAGATATGGGAGGAAAATTGTGCTCTGCGGTTCTGGAATTTTACAATTTGTTTTTGCAATTGCCCAGCCTTATTTCACCAACTTTGTGCTGTACAGTGGATCGCTGTTTTTCTACGGGATGTTTGGTTCAGGTTTGTTCATCGTGAAGGAGACTGACCACGTGTGTTGATTTTAATTTAATTAATTCTGCATGTTGTATTTTTAGCTGGAGCGTATGTCACAGCATTCGTCATGTGTAAGTGCTTTCAATTTGCGAGATATGTACATAGGATACATATCTACACGTATTTATGAATATACATGAGATGCGAATCAAGGCATATTTATAGCAATGGAACTCGTGCACAAGAGCAATCGGACATATTGCGGAGTCATTTTCAACTCGAGTTTTGCCGTCGGAGCATGTTTTGTTGCTATCTATGGATATTTCATCCGTGATATTTGGCTTCTTCAAACCGTGTATGCCATGCATGCTGCTGTATTGTTAGGCTACTGGTTGTAAGTTCACTACAAACTAACCGAATTTAACAAAACAATTTTTGGGACAAAGTTGATGCGTATGTACATACGCGATATTTACACCACAACATTTTCCTCCAGCCTCGTAGATGAGTCCATTCGTTGGTTGTGGACTCAAAAGAGAGTCGAAGAGGCTGTGAAGATTGCAAATAATGCGGTGAAACTTAATGGAGGATCATTTTCCAATAATTACAAAATCCCTCAAACACATTCGACAGTCCAACCGCAAGGAAGCAAGTTTGGTTTGTCAGACTTGTTTCGACTCCCAATTATGAGGTTCAGAGCCATAATTACAGCCTTCAATTGGTTCGCGATTTCCTTATGTTTTTATGGCCTGGCTTTCAACATGGAAGGTCTTACTGGAGACCCTCGTTCTTCGTTTCACCCGTACCTGGTGTTCCTGATTTTGGCATTTGCAGACTTGCCAGGTTTTTTGCTGGTTGCTCTCCTCTTTAACAAAACTGGTAGAAGACCTTTGAATTCGACTCTACTTTGTATTGGAGGTGTGGTTTGCATTGTAACCACAGTCATTCCACGCGGTATTTTTTACTTATTTTAACTGCGTACATAATTGCATCGTAGTTGACTGTTGAAAACAAAAGTTGCCGCTAATTGTAGGTATGCTGGTCCGGACGGGGTTGGCTATCCTTGCCAAGGTTATTTTGGCATGTAATTTTGCCATCATCTACAGCTATACCGCTGAATTGTTTCCAACGATGGTGAGAAATTCTGCGCTTGGATTGTGTACAATGTCCTCCAGGTTGGCTGGGACCCTGGTGCCACAAATCACTCTGTTGGTAAATAATATGACCCACTTATTGCTGCTCTTACACATATATACATATGCAGCTATGCAAGTATTACCATCCACAGGTTATACTTATTATGTAACCACTAATTATTGCTTAGAATTCCATTGATAAATCCATTCCATCGCTTGTCTTTGGAGGAATAGCAGTTTGTGCCTCATTCGCTTTTCTATTTCTTCCCGAAACTCTGAACAAAGAGTTGCCGCAAACATTGGAAGATGGAGAAAATTACAACAAGGATGACACCGCATTCAACACTTTGTGCAATCAAACTCGCGACAGTCGAAAAAACATGCAGATGAATTCAGAAGTTCATGACAAGATGTTGGTCGAATAATTAAATTTAGCTGATCAAATATTACTAATTATTTAAGTGCTGTGTTGTACATTTGTTTTTGAGAAATGCGTGATAAATATATTTTGTTTGATACATACATATATTTAATTTTATATATTTAAAAAATTAAAAGATATGGCTATAATTACGGCATGTTGTTGTTGTGGGATACTTAGCATGTTTGTTAATCATTGACGTAATCGACAAAATCAATACATATTTTACGCATGGTGTACATAACTGTTTGGCGGCGTGAAATTTATAAAGAAAGGCTCTATATTATTACACAAAGCGCAATTCCTGGTTGGGCCCTTTATTACCCACTTATTCATATGTAGTATGCACTTTATTGCTTTCTAGCTATGTTTCTATGCCATTCCATTCGTTACAAAACTGGGAACATGACAGGAAAACAATAATAACAATTAGAATGAACTGCCTCCCAGCAAGAGAACAAGTCTGGTTTGCAAAATTAATGCGGGATTAAGAACTTGTTGTCGCAATAACTTGCAAATGGATAGAGTAGCAAAATCTTATCCTTTCATCGTACGCTGCATTTGCCGTCGTATGTATGTAGCACAGCTATTTGCATGGCCCTTATTTTCTCTCTTTCTTTGACTGCAATACACCGTCATGGGGTTCATGTGCAATTATTTTCGTCCTATGCTGATCCCACTTTGGCTTAACTACGCTCGAGAGATATGCTTTCTTGGCGAATACTTATGTATAACCCCAATCCGTACTGTTGTCGATTTTCGCTGCGAGTTCAAATGTTTCACCAGCGAAAGAACTTTACAAGAAATATTTATCGTATGTAATTGTCACCACAAATTGTTTTTCGAACGTGCTCATTGCTAGTTGTCCCGGTTGTGTTATTTTATTATAATTAATGATCAGACTGTTGTGATCAAACTCTTGACAAATACGGACATAAACTGTAAAAGTAATTCTTTCTCTCTTTTAATGTGCCACACAGATGTAGACAAGTTGACAATACTTACATAATGCCACTTTGAGAAAGAGGAAGAATCTGTCTGTCGGATTGTAGTTAGCTAACCACATAATTTTTAGGTTACATGCTGCTCACGCTAATATAATGAAATCAAACATTGTTCAACAACGAATGCAAAACTTTTGCCCAACTTTTTTCTGTCATCTGTTTTTTTTCTTGAAAGAGAAAGTTGAAGGAGAAAGTCTGGCCACACAGCTGGACGATATCAGTCACACTGCCAAGTAGGCGCCCAACGCCGTATTTCTTTCTTTATCCAAATATTAAAAGTAAATAAATGAGACTATGGTCATAATAAAGGTTGGAATAAAAATGGAAAGCGAGCTATACGCACCTAGCAGATCTGTGTAGAATAGCAAGTCACAGTTGTCTTTTAGTGTTTTTTGGAGGGTTGTTGGAGTTTCACTGAGAAGCAGTTATAGAAAACGAGGAATGACGCAGCGAGGAGAAATGGTAAGTGAAAAAAGTGGCTTCAAATAAGTGTCCAAAACTCCAGTGTGGTGGAAGAAGGAACTCGTGAACGGCAAACGGATTTCGGAACAGTCTTTTACTCTTTAGTGGTGGTGGATAGAAGTCGTAGAAATAGAGGAAATACATAAAATAAAATATTAGTCTTATGCGGTTACCATTCCGTTCGAGATCTCTGACAGCTCGTTGGTCTTTAGGCTTTCTCTTTGGTCTGCTCCTGATGATGGAAACAAGACCACAACGACTAACGAGGAATGCGACACTACTTATTTCACCCGTGCCATAAGAATCTTAGATTCCTCCAGCCAATTCTTAGGTCTCTGCATTATTCCGGACTTTGCCTATATGTATGTATGTACATATGTATTTAAGTGTTTAAGTGCATGTCTAGTCAAAAGTTCTAATTTCGCATGTACCAAAATATCCTTGCTAAAATTACTAATAAATGCACTTGGTATATTTTCTAATCGATTGGCATGTCTTTAATAATTTATCTTCCTTCTAGACAAATGATGATGGAATTATGTGACAATAATAATCCCGAGCTAAATGGCATGATATGCATACAATGTATTTATATGCAAATCGAAAGTTCTTCGACCTTATATAACTTGTGAAAGTTGTCTGTTTAATCTACTTGATTCTCAAATTGATGCTTTTAAGGTTTCAGTTCATGGAAATCCTTTGAGAGTTTAAAACTTATGAAGTGATTTATTCCGTATTTGTATTTTGTGTTAAGTGGAGCACTTAAAATAAACTCATAAAGCATTTAAGAGGGACGTGAGCGTTATTGAATTTTCTCTGTCATCAAAGTTAGTAATACTTTTAGGAATATGCATGTACGAGGAGAGTAACGACATTATATTCACCCTTCCCTCTCAAAATGCACTATCTGACTCAACGCCCACTTGAAACGACATAATTTTGAACCTAGTTGATGTGGCAATGTAGCACAATTTTTCCGAATCATAAATGTGACTCATATTTTCTTTCAATTTAGCCCTGTAATAAAATTGAAACCATTTTCTCTGGAAATGCACATACATATTTGTACATACATATACCAACTATGCATGAAAAGCAACAAAAACACCTACGCCGAAAGCTTTAGAATGCAGCACTCGACTCAATAGTGCATCGACAGTGTCCTTAACCACTACTTGAACTACAACGGCTCCATGTAATGTAAAATTAAATAGGAACGCACATTTCCATAGACGTGAGACACTCGTTCCCTTCCAAATAGATTGTCCAACGACGTTGGCCTTGTCGCGAAGGTGCTGGTGCAGGTAGAAGTTCTTGGGAATGTGGAGCAAAATAGTGGCAAAGTGGAGGAAGAGACAGGTGCGGTGTGAGACGACACAGGTGCAACTAATGACCACTTTCTCCTCTGTCTCTCCACTTCCTCTCCCAACTTCCGCTCCTCACATTTCTTTTTGATGATCCTTTTGTATCTCTCCCTCCACTCGGCGAAAGTTCATTTACCCAGCAGCACGTCTTCTGGAGTGTGTCGTCAATCCCTCGGTGCGTGGCGAGCCAGGAGTAAGGAGACGGATCCTGATGCTTCTTTAAAAATGTTACAACACGTTTGCACCAAAATGGAGACTTGAAACTTGGACGTGGTGGTGCAGCAGGGTAAAGTACGTAATAAGCAAATACGATGCAGTAATGGTGATACAAACATGCAACAATGGAAGAACATGTAATAACAAATATGCGCACTTATGCTTGGGATTGAAACTCTTTGTATAGTTTTCCTCCACACGAAATAATTAAGAGTGCTAATGCAGCCATTTGTGAAGTGTCTGTACAACTCATTGTTGTTGTTCTTCTAAAATTGGTCATGTCAAAACGTTGAGGATTCAGGCAGAAGGAATCACCTTTAGAATCATCGAGTGCTAATTAGAAGCATGCTCTACACGAGTGGGTGGAGGCGGTTGTACAGCCCATCATCGTGGGAAATGTAAATTACTCGAATTCTGGTTGTGTGGTCGTATGTATAATCGTGAAATTGATTAGGCTGTGGTCCGCACCATACCGATGATGTTCTTAACACACACGTTAAAATTAAAACAACAACGGGCAATAATCTCAATCGTAAATGATCAGATACTCCTCGTTGTTTAACGGAGGTAAAAATTATTTAGTTGTGAAACTGAAATATCCAACTTCAAATATGACAATTTCTCCGACTCAAATCGAAGGCTGCCTGTGGGCGGATACGCGTTTTTATTTATGTTCTTCACTTCATAGAATTAGAAAGTAAAATAGAATTCGTTCCCACAACAACAAACCAACAAATGGATACAAATGCGCCTCATAAATATATCAGTGAGCGGAGCATGGTTATGGCTTTTCGAGATAATAAATAAATTATACATCGTTTAGTTCGAGTAACAAAGGGCTGCATTCTTGTCATTTGCATGATAAAATCTAGTTGTAAATTAAATAATTCTTTTGCCCAACTGTACGTTTTCCACGACCACCCTTCCACGAAGCATAAGTATTTACTTATAAGTGAGAAATTTGAGTGATTTGAAATATTAGAATTTATGAATAAATAAACAAGTAAAGAAATATTTAACTTGAAATTTAGCAACTGCATTTCCGAAAAATGTACGTATACGTATTCCGTAAATAAATATTTATTTGCAATTCGAGTGAATATGGTTGAAATATAAATAGATGGAGAAATTGGGGAGAAATTAGTTGAAAGCGGAGATTATGATCATTACTCGTGATTTATTGAATTAAATGTATGCATGGATTCAATGAATCATTTGTTGAAAATTTAATAGGAGCGTGGGTTTCTGTGATAAAATAAACTGATCACGGGGAATCTACGGAAATGAGGATGTGCCGTGTCATCATTATACCTTGGTTTCGACTGTGTGCAGTTCGTATGCACATTCTTGAGCCGCGAGTAGGAGGTGGCTTTTCGAAATTCAGCTTCCTTTGCCCCTTTCATTTTTTTCATCCTTCTTTATGGTTCATTTTAGTCATTCCGGTGCAAAGGATTCGAATGCTGGTGAAAGTCATTCAATTCAGCCAGTCATATCAGTCATACTTTTGAATCTTTTAAATATAAAATATGCATTAGAATACAGGAGGATGACATTCTCAGGAAGGGAACGACGGAAGTTGAATATTTGAGTGAGGGAAAGTTTGACTTGGCATGGTTACGAAGGAAATGGGGTTTATTTTATTGCAAAGTGCACACGTTGGAGATCTGAGAACTGAAATAAACTTGAAATTGGAATTGAAAATATCCAATATGAGATGCATAACAATTCAACGACAATTTTATGAGGGTTCGTATATTCAGAAAGCCAAATGAAACCATCATCGAATATCGTAAATTCCTTATGGATCATGTAACAATAGTGTAAAATGAATATTCAATAAGACATTCAGTTCAACTACATAATCAAATCGCTACATGAAATATATGAAATAAATGTTTATTTGTGCCATGAATTAATGCAATAGAATTTAAATAGAATTCGAATTCAAGAAAACCTCCCAGCATAGCTTTGAACAGCCCGAGCCAACCCTTGTCAGATATCTTACTTACATATGCACGAGTACGTGCGACCAATTTTAGCATTGACCCAGTGCTTAA